TAATAATAATAGCTGACTATATAGTTCACTTAAGGTTTATAAAAGTGCCGTATGCATATGTACATAATCTCCTCCCCCTGCCCCTTGTGAGGTGGCTACTTTAATTATCATTGTCTTATAAATAGGGAAAATAAGGATGAAAAGGCTTAAATTATTTGCCTCTGAGGGCCATGTAGTTTGTTTGTTTGTTTGTTTTTTTAGGCAATTGGGGTTAAGTGACTTGCCCAGGGTCACACAGCTAGTAAGTGTCAAGTTTTTGGTCTGAGGCTGTATTTGAATTCAGGTCCTCCTGACTTCAGGGCCGGTGCTTTATCCACTGCACCACCTAGCTGCTCCCAGGCCATGTAGTTTGTAAGTGGTAAAGGTGGGATTTGAACTCAGATCTTCCTGATTAAGTCCAGCATTCTATCTATATATCTATAGATATATTATATCTATACCATGTATAGTTCTTTGAACAAGTACTTTTGAAGCTCCTCCTGTTTGCCAAGTACTAGGGATACAAAGACTCTCTATCCACTATACCATGCTGCCTTTCTTTTAATATCTTTACTATTACATGACTAGTCTAAATTTAGATTTGAGCTCTCAGCATGATGGAGTTTGAGTTTTGTTACACTGAATTGAATTTTGTTATTTTTCATTGACTAAAGAGTTAAATTATACCAGAAGCCCTTTTATATTTTTATATATTCTGAACCTCCCTTTTTAACAGACCATTTAAGTTCTTAATTTGTAGACTTAACAACTCCAGTAGCAATTCTCTGTAAAGAAAATTCTTTGTAAAGAAAATTTTATTTCCCAGTTGATGTCCTTTTAAGAAGTGTGTTCCCTTTTCTCTCCAAAAGGCTGAACTGAAAACTTCCATTGAGCCTCGTGTCTCATTGGCATCATTAAGTATTTTGGGAATGCTGCAGAGCTCTTTTGGGACTTTACTAAATCTTTGATTTCCAGTTCTTTCTCTTCATTCTAAAGCATAGGAATTTCTTCTCTGGAAAAACCTCCTGTCTTTCTACCAATTAACTTCTAGAAATTAGTTCAGGCATTTATTAAGTTCCTATTCCAAATAAAGTTCCAATAAAGCACTGTGCTAGGTGCTGGGAGATGTGTTAATTGAAATGAAGAACAGTCCCTCTTGGAACTTAAATTTTACTTGTTCCCTTTGTCCTTTGGCATCTATAATAATTTAACAGCTAAAGTATATAATAGCACCATTATTAGATACTGCCTAAAACATCCTTGGGTCTAAGGTTTTAGGCTGTTAAAAATTAATCGTATCCCGACCATATCTAGTCTCATTTGTGTATTAAGTCTATCTAAAATGGGGTATAATTGTATTTTCTTTAATGTATGTTATAGTTGACTTTCATGTTTTCTTAATTTTTATATAAAAAGATTTTTGGTGTTTTCTGTTTCTGCTTCACAGCATATGTTAGTCCCCACAGGTTTAATAGTAAGCCAAAACCAATTAACCCCAAAGCCTTATTTGCTGCATATGTACATTAATTTTTTGAGCAACAAATGTTTTAACCCACTATCTTCACTAATATTGTAACTACTGTCTTACAGATTGACTTGATGCAAAACAACACAAAGGCTCCATATTTTACAGTATGCGATTTTTGAGGTATGAGATTTAGAAACTTACCTCTCACTGTGGCATGTACATCAAGCTTTAATTTCAGTTTGGTTTTTTAGGGGGACACTCAACCTTTTTAACTCCCCTCCATACTGTTTTTAAAGTAATTAAAGGGCCTGGAGTATTTCTGGATCCCTTCTAGGCTCCATGGCCTAGACTTTCTTTTCCCAATGAAATGAGGGATGCTCATTCCAGCAGATTTTAGTTTGTTCTGTCTTTTGGACTATCATAACATTTTGGGACTATCACTTTGAGTCTGTAGCTGTATATTCTAAATAGCCCTGGTGGTCACATTATTATTATCACGTAATTATTTTCTTTTCAGTTTCTCTTTGATTGGGGAAGCTTTTCTTGGAAGCATAACTTGTCCAATTACTTTTCTTTAAAATAAAATAAGGGCAGTTTAAATATTAGAAGAAAACTCTTAAGAGTCTTGTATGAATGTTAACTCCATAATCAGATCACCGTTTTGTTCTCTTTGATGGACTAGAGTATGCTGATAACCCAAGTCCTGAACTTTTAGTCTTGTAAGCAGTATTTTTTTAAATGTATTTCTGCTTCTTTTTTTTTTTTAATTTTTGGTGAGGCAGTTGGGGTCAAGTGACTTAAACAGAGTCACATAGCTAGCTAGTACCTGTCAAGTGTCTGAGGCTGAATTTGAACTCAGGTCCTCCTGACTCCAAAACCAGAGCTCTATCCACTGCGCCACCTAGCTGCCCCTTTAAATGTATTTCTGAAGGCCCTCATTCTGAAATTCTCAGTATTCATTACCTATGGAATTGTTAAGCTTGCATTTCTTAAGTAAATAGGAACTTGTAGTAAAGTATTTCTTTGGTCAGTTATTAGGACTATAAGAAAAACAATGATCCAAAACTCCTACTAGAAACAGGATTAAAATGAGCAAAAAAGAAAAATGGGTTACAAAATTAGTTGCATGAATATTGATTAATTTATGTGTGCATATAAAAATGTGCATATGTGTTTATACTTTCACTGAGTTTGAGTTGATTCTTTAGGTGGTTTTGAGATGTCCCTTTGTGAACATACTTCCATAGTACATGAGAAACATTTTAGTGTATCAGTTATATATAGTCAGTCATAACATTATAAACTTAGAAGGGACTTTAAACATAATTTGCTCCAACCTACTGAGTTCAATGATAAGTAAACTGAAGAAGCCCAGAGGTGGCTGACTTGCCCAAGCTTATATTTGTGGTTATTGGTCATGCTAAGCCTGAAGTAGAACAAAATTTCGTTACTCCTAACTTAGTGCTTTTTCCACAATACCTTCTTGTAAATAAAATTATAAACTTATAGAAGTAATTAAGCACCAGGAAATGAAAGCATATTCAAATTAAGTTTCCTTTAAGGCACTTCAAAAGACATTTTATTAGCTGAATTACCTATTTTATACTCATTCAGAAAGGAATAATTGGTGGAACATGGTTTGTTACCGTAGGTACAATTTCAAATAAAATGTGTTATTTTCAGTCATAAATTTTTATGGTAAGTTTTTCAATGCCCTCATGTTCCATTTAGTGACTTAAGAGAAGTATTATAATGACATAACAGAAGTATTTAAATTAGCATTGGTTTATGACATATTTGGCAAGTAACTTTACAGTGTCAATTGTTAGAAGGCAGGTAAAGGCAGTTTCTTAACTCTTATTTTTCTGTGACAATTTGGAGGTATTGTGATTTATATTTGAAGCTTACTGACAATTATATTCTGATATTTGAAGGAGGAAAAAAAAGCTTGTCAAAATTGAGAGTACAATCTTGCTTAGATCTTAGTCATTACAGTTAAAGAATTTTAGATTATTGGACTTTTGATTTATGTGAGGGCTTTTAGCCCTAATTAGACTCAGCCAATTTTTTATCATCAAAGTTTGACTGAAGCTGTTGGCAGACATTCTATTTAATATGTTTAACGTTTCATATATTAACCACAGGGGTAAAATAACAGCCTTTTAGGAACAAAGTGGAATATGGTGATAGAATTTGTCTAGATTTCAGGTTTAGTATCCTTCCCCCTTCCTGAAGGGAAATTAAAGTGAATAATATATGCAAAAATATCTATAGATTTTTCCCTCCTAAGGTTGAAGAATAGGTAAAAGTAGAATTTTTATTCTTCCCAGTAACAAACTTAGTCAAAATGATTTGAAGAAGATTTTTTAGCAGTAGCAAGTATAACAAAATTCAGATTTTTCTATTTATATCTTTAGAAAAGAACTTTGGAGGTTTTTGGTATTTATGTTATATTTGTGTTATGCTTTTATATATATATACACACACATATTATGTTATATTCTTAAACTATTTGATTGTTTTACATTGACTATTATATTTAAGCTGTTTTAATTATAGTTGTTTACTAAGGTCTGAGTGTCAAGTTCACTTTTAAAAAGGTTTTTATAAGGTTAAGAACGTAAAAAAATGACTCAACTGAAAGGTAGCAATTACAATTTAAAATTTTTTTTCTTACTAAAACCTTTTTTCTTGACTTTCTTTATATGTCAATTGATAGATTTTTGATTTCAGATTTTACAATGAATTCTTGAGTATTACACTATATAAATATACTACAGAATTTGCACATTTGCTTTGTGAACTCCTTTTCCCAAATGCTAGTGTTCTGTGCATTCTCCCTTATTTTACAGCATATGACCTTTCAGCTTAACTCTTATGTAGTTTAATTGTTGTGACATGAATTCAGTAACTTGGAAATACCTTTCCCTGAAGGTATTATAGTTTATTAAGAATTAAAGTGGTGGGAGCAGCTAGGTGTCGAAGTGGATAGAGCACCGGCCTTGGAATCAGGAGGACCTGAGTTCAAATACTGCCTCAGACACTTGATATTTACTAGCAGTGTAACCCTGGGCAAGTCACTTAACCCCATTGCCTAGCCAAAAAAAAATAAAAATAAAAGGATTAAAGTGGTGATAACACCTTCCTCTTCTGGCTTCTTTGTTGCCAGTTTCCAAATTTGTGACTTAGAAGATTCAAAATATTTCTTTTAGATCTTTCCAATATTTTCTAACTGGGAAAAATATTAAATCATTCCTTATATCAAAAGACAGGTGAAAAGGCTTCTGGGAGTCGCTTTCAAATTTCGAGTGGATTTTTAAAATAGACAATACAGTATCTCTAATAGAGCCCAAATGAGTGACATTTTTATTAAGAGCTAACTTTGATTGCCTGTTAGTACTAATAAGACAGTTGGCACTTAGAGGATTCAAAACTTAACCTGGAGATCTTAACCTTAAACCTTTTTAATTAATTAAGTTTGCCTGGCTATTACATTACTACATGAAACCTTCTTAATTGTGTACATGTGTGTATGTGTATGTTTTCTTAACAGAACTGATAGTGCATCAGCCGACCCAGATAATTTAAAATACTCTTCATCCAGAGATCGAGGCAGTTCTACCTCGTATGGACTGCAACCTTCAAATTCAACTGTGGTGTCTCGTCAAAGGCACGATGATATCAGAGTCCATACTGACATACAGAATGATGAAAAAGGTATATACATTTCTTAATTATGGTTAAAAAGGAGTATTGTGAGTTCACATGGAGTTATTTGATAAAGTAAACTCACATTCACTATTTATAGGTGGCTACAATGTCAATGGAGGATCTGGGGAAAATACTTATGGTCGGAAGTCGTTGGGGCAAGAGCTGAGAGTTAACAATGTGACCAACCCTGATTTCACCAGTATTCAGCATGGAAATCGTGCTTTAGCCACAAAAGACATGAGGAAATCACAGGGTAAGAATCCTGAACACTGGGAAAATAAAATATGGTATTGCAGAACTATTTTCCTTTTCTCTTTTGTTCCTGATTTATCATGTAGCCAAAGAGTAAAAAAACATGAAAAGTGACATTTTCCTTTATGTGTTAGCATAAAACTACTAAAGAAAGAGGTTCTGCCTTAGAATAATTAGTTCTTAACAAGGGTAACATTATCGGAGAGGGTTCTAAAATTATTAACATATTAAGTTTAGGAAATATGATGTTGTTTAAATAACCTTTTGAGTATTATAAAATAAACTAAATTTTGTTATTAAAAAAAATAATAACTTCATGAAGGAATACAGACACAATTCCCATCCTCAAGTAATTTATTATATACTCATGGATATATGGCTTAACAAATGTATAAAAAATTTTAAAACCTGTATAAGCAGTGTTATGAGGTAATACATAATTAATTGCTAAAAGAATGGTGTGGACCAGAGGCGTCAAACACAGGCAGCAAACCAAGCGTGGCTGAACTAGACTAAGATGTAATTGGGAAATATTTAATGAAATAAAAATTCAGTAGAACATAGGTAATGTTAACATGTGTTTTTCTCAGTCAATATGCAGCTGCGGGGATCTGCAAATAAGGTTTATTGGACAGTTTCTGTTGAATTTGATAGCACTGGTATGGACCAGTCCTTTTGGCTCTAGAACCCTAGGAGGAGCGGGGGTCTAGAGTTAGTGAAATGAAGAATGTAAATCCACATGAACAAAGCATCATCAGTTTTATCATTACTTAACTTAATAGAATGTTCATGTAGCATTTCTTTAAAACTAATTTTCATTTTAAAAGTACCTGGCTGTCTGTGGGCCATATGGTCATTTTTGAGTTACTTAGGATTATTTTATATAGTTATAAAGTACTAGATGATTTTCTTATATTTTTGTGAAGGTGAGTTTTCTGCACTTACTGCATTGAAATTCAAATACCAAAACAAAACAAGTAGGAAATGGAATTAAATCGAAATCTGAAGCTGATTGATTGATTTCAGTCAAACTTTTAATCTCTGAAATATGCAAAGCAGCCATTTCCTTAAATAACTCAGCATACTGAGGTACTATAGGTGTTTTCTATTGATTGAATAAATTGTATGTCTGTTACTATTTCTTATTATGTAGATGATGTTTTGACTAATAAAATACAAATTTCATTTTAAATAATTATTACTGAAGTTATGACTTGTCAGGTATTTTCTCATTCTGTGCCGATAATGTGCCTATGACATTCTTGGTATGTTTTTCATTAAAAAAGAACCTTCATACTAATGAAGATCAAGCACCATTTGTGAAATTAGTGAATTCTTATGTCAGGAGAGGAGGAAATTACCATGGACTGAAATAGACTACAGGTTATAAAGGAAGGGAAAATTTCAGTTGAGCCTTGAAGGAAAGTGGAATTTGGATAGATGGAGAGAAATAAGGGCGTTCCAGGTAATATGCGTAAAGCCTTAGAGTTAAGAATTATTATAATTATTGTCATCATCATCATCATTATTATTACCTTCATCATTAGCATCACCATTATTATTAATTTATGTAGTACTTTAAAAGTTATTGGGGTGTTTTATTTATGTTTTCTTGTTTGACCTTGTTGACAAATCTACAAGGTAGGTAGAATAGCTATTATTCCCATTTTATAGATGAAGAACCTGAGACTCAAAGAAGTTGTTACTTGCCTATGGTCTCACAGGCTTCAGAGGTAGGGTTTGAACCCAGTTCTTCCTGACATTTAGCACTGTATCCACTATTCCATATTGGTTATAAAGTGAAAGGTATGTGCTGGGAATGGAATAGAGTTTGGCTGGAGTGAAGAGTTTTTTTTTTAGGGGAGTACTGGGCTCCCCATTACTTATGTGATAAAGTCCAGAAATTCAATTTTATTTTCTATCCAGATGAGGTTCATGAGGTTTGTGAAGTAAACTTTATTGCCTGCCATGTTTGTTGAATGGATGAATTTACAATGCACTATTTTATCTTAATCTTATATCAGGCAAACTGGAGTTTAGAGACCACTTCTCAATCTCCACAGTCACAGAACTAATTGAACATGAAGTCCAGATTTTTTACTGCATGTAGTATATTCTTCTGAAATATGCTAACTTTTTTGTTCGTGTAAATAATGTTTCTTTTCAGTTTTGTTAGAATGTCATGTTGATCTGTTACTCAAACTTTTTTGATCACAACATAGTGTTTGCCGTGGGGAATTCTGGGGAGAATTGAGAGACTTGTGCCACCTCACAACTTTAAAGAGTGATAGTTTAGTTCCATATATTTCATAACTTAGTGAAATCCATTACATTTGTACCGTTTCAGAATCCCTGATCTAGTGTAATGTAATTAAGCTGATTTTATTTCCTCTTTGATTTATTTTTGGTTTTTTGGGGGAGGGGGTTTGGTGGTAGACTTAGAATTATAGAATTTTTGATCTAAAAGGTAATTTTAAGATCATTTTTTAAGTACGGAAAGTTCTTAAGGATCTAGATGCATCAAGGATTTAAGCTATCTCTATCAGCCTTTCTATTTAGGCTCTAGAGAGAAATGAAATCATCTAACCTCTTGATGTTACTAAATAGCATCTATTACCTATTTATGTTTTACTATAGATAAAATTGAATTCTTTATTTTGCTGGAGGAACTGAAGTGAGTCTCTGATGTAAAATATTGGTGTATGTGGTTTTTTTTTAAGTAGTTATACGTTGTTATGTTATTAGTGTGTGTGCTAGGTACTTATTTTCTTTAAAAAAAAATGAAGGAACCTGGTTTGAGGTTTTCTCAATTTTTATTTCGGCTGTTATGATTCATTTTTTAATGATTGTTAAAAATAGGTAGAAAAATGGGGATTCAGGAGTTATTCCGTTAAGGAATAACAATTATTGGTGAAAATAGTGCTCCAGGTAGTGAACAATAATTGTACTGAGATAAGAAATTGAGAAATATATAAAGAAACATCCCCTTAGCTACTGGAATATTAAGCTTTACCTATTATCCCTGATACTTTTGGGGGTTTTTCCCCCTACCTGTCTGCTGAAAAATTGGATAATGTTAAGGAAGAAACTGGCAGAAACTTAACACTCTTTCTCTTAGGTTTTTTAAAAGGGATTGTGTGCTCACAACTGTTTTTCTTTGTAATTTGAAATAACATGTTGGACTAAAGATGCTGCTACATACTCTTATGGAAAATACAATTTTGTATCTATAGAGCGATCGTTGTCTTACTCTGATGAGTCTCGACTGTCAAATCTTCTTCGGAGGATTACCCGGGAAGATGACAGAGACCGAAGACTGGCTACTGTAAAGCAATTGAAAGAATTCATTCAGCAACCGGAAAATAAGCTGGTCAGTCTGTTCTAAGATCTTTATTTGTATAATTAACTCTTTTTTTTTTAAAGTGGAAGTGAGTAAAGAGGGCAGAAGAAGAAGGAATTTTCTCTTGGGAAATATCAGAGGGCTAATTTCTGATTCATTAGATCTGTTTGATACAGCACTTTAACTATGTAATGCTAGTATTGGGGCAGAACGTGTGTGTATGTATGTAGTGGCTGTGATAGGGCGGGTAAGTCTATGCAGAGGTGTACTATTTTAATTTTATGTATTTTATTTGAAAAAAAAATGCATTTTCTTGGGCCAATTTCCATAGACTCTATTCAAGAGCACTCAAAGATAATAGAAATGAAAAAAATAATACAAATATAAAGTTTTTCTGTATTTTATTCCTTGACTTTTTCAGGTACTAGTTAAGCAGCTAGATAATATCTTGGCGGCTATACATGATGTGCTTAATGAGAGGTAAGGTGGAATAAATTGGAAATTACTTTAATCTAGACAATATTATGTCTAATACTTTTACATGTACATAAATAAATGCTAGCTAAAATAAATTGTTGAGAGCAAATACCAACATGTGATATTTTCAGTGAAGAATTGAAGAAGGGCAGGGACTAGGTGTTTCTTAATTTATAACTCTTAACCTAGACTGAGTGAAGCCTTCAGGTCAGTGATAACCCCTACCCAGAATGATAATATTGCTAGGATCTTTTACTTTAAGTTTCCTTCCTTAAGCTAAATGTTTACCCTGTTTTTCCAAAAGTGGTGAGGGCATTCATCATTGTGATTGATCATCATTTACCCATTGCTGCATTCATAGCTACATTCCACAAATTTTTTAACAAAAAGTGTTAGACTAGTCATTGTGGACCACTGACTTCATCTCTGCCCTTAAATTTCTTGCTTTATAGAGTAACCCTTAATGGATTTTTGCTTTATACTCTAGCTCATGAGATCATAGTAACATTAGAATGTTAGAACTCCAAGGAACCTTTAGAGATAATCTAATCCAGCTACCTCCTTTAACAGATGAAGAAACTGAGACCCAGAATGGTGAAGTGACACGTCAAGTTAGTGGTAGAGGTGGGACTAAAATTTTGGAATCCTGATTTGTAGTCTCATGCTTTTTATATTCTTGTTACCTCATTAATAGCAGGTTCATTAAATCAGTGCTTTTACCCTTCAATTCAACTTTACTATTTAGCCACTCTCTTTCACTTATTGTTTAGCATTTGGCATTATTTTGTTTTCTAGAGTGTTCTGCCACATATATACATACATATATATATATACACATATATATATACACACACACATATATATATATATATTTGGCAGGTTTTCTGGTTTAGATGACTTTTATAGCTCATTTCTGTTTAAAGATGGAATTTGAAGCTTGAAGTCAGTCTAAGGCTAGCATTAAATAACTTGTTTCAAAAAAAAAAGGAAAGTGAAATATTCAACGCTTTTCCTGTTGCAGAGAGAATATAGTATGGCTGCCTTTAAAATTGATTCGATTTCAACGCTTTTACTTTTGTTTAGAATTTTCTTATTCAGAAGACCATTCAGTTTGTAAAATGTCATTACCTTTCAAAACAGAAGCTAACTTTTTTCTTTTGGTATCATTACAGTAGCAAATTACTTCAAGAATTGAGACAGGAAGGAGCTTACTCTCTTGGCCTTCTTTGTGCTTCCCTAAGCTATGAGGCTGAGAAAATCTTCAAATGGATTTTTAGCAAATTTAGCTCATCTGCAAAAGATGAAGTTAAACTTCTTTACTTATGTGCCACCTACAAAGCCCTTGAGACTGTAGGAGAAAAGAAGGCTTTTTCATCTGTAATGCAGGTAAGACTGAAAAGTAAATTTTTAAAAATTATCTTTCTATATCAGTGCATTATATACTAGTCAGAATAAATATTTATTAAATGAATGATACTTGAATGGAAAATTGTACTTAACACATACTTGGAAGAAAAAAATTTAGAACAGTGTTCACTCAATGTGTCACTTAAATATATCAGCTATCATACTTGGTATTGAAGGCAACATTTATATGGAATCAATACTTTTGTTTTTCTCTTACTTTTGGTTTTTGATTTTGACTCCTGTGCCATTGCTTAGGACCCTGTTCTGATCTCATTTCCTTTCCTATTCAATATGTGGTCAACCATTTCGATAATATTCTCTTATCTGCACTTGAATGATGTTTCCTTGACTATTCACTCTTCATGTTTTGCTAGCTTTTAATCTAAGCTTGGGTTTTGCTAGCTCTTAATCTAAGCTTGGGCTAACTCCTACCTTTCATCTCCTCTTATTCCTGAGCAGTGAAATAAGCACTTCAATTAGTCTGTCATTACTATGTGGCAATTCTAATATTTACTTCGCTTGTGTCACATTCTCCACAATGACTAAAAACTACTCATTTCCTTAGGCCCTCAACATATTGAGAAGATTTTTGAGGCCATCTGACCCAAAAGGCAAAATGACCTAATAATTAGAGCTAATTGTATTGGAATATGGTACCTTGGGAGGTAGTAGGTTGTACCTTACTTTATGTCTTCAAGAAAAGATTGAAAGCCTAATTGTTAGATTGTAAAGGGGTTCTTGTTCTGGCAAAAGTTGGACTAGGTGACCTCTGAGGTTCCTTCCAACTCTTAAAGAGGCTGATTCTGTAACTTCTCAGGTTTTTCTCTTAGTTCTAAATCAGTGATTTCACTCAGACTCTTTTCTTCAATCTAGAGAAAGATCAAATTTTCTCTTTGTATATGGTGGATTTGCAGTTTCATATGCAATTATCTTTTTTTTATTGTACTATGTTACGGAAATGCATGTACAAAACCATGTACAAAGATAACCTCTCTGTACCTACACTTTTTATCCCATGCCTTCACAGCTCCTCTAAGACCTTACTCTTCCAGATATCACATTTTTCAGGAACTTAAATCCATTCCATATTTCATTTACCTTCAGTCTTTTCTTTGCTGTCTCCTTTTCTTCATGCTCAGGTCTTTGTCTCTGTTGCACTTTCAAACTGTCATCTTATGACTTTCTCCTTCATTGCCAAACTTTTAGAAGAGCAATCTACATTTGTTGCCTCTACTTTCTTCCTCATTTCCTTCCCACACCTCAGCTCCTTTCACTTGGCTTCTGTATTGCAATATTGCACTGTGATAGTGTTCTTCAAGGTACATATAACTGTGAAATCATAGAATCTCAAGGGTTGGAATGGACCTCAGACTATCTAGTCCAACCTATGTTTGAAAAGAAATCCTCTCTACAGCATCACTGACAGATAGTTAGCTAGCATTTTCTTGAAGATCTTTCCACTACCTCTTGATTACTTGACAATAATTCTCAGAATCATGTGGTCCAAAACCAGTAGTCATCTATTCTAATCTGTACCTGAAGGGGGATATTTTGTAGACCATCTCCAAAAATCCATTCTACTTTTCGAAAGTCCTAATTATTAGAAAGTTTCCCCTTAAATTTAAGGGCAGGTGAGTGGTACAGTAGATAAAGTCAGGAAGCCTAGAGTCATGAAGACTCATCTTCCTGAGTTCAGATCTGGCTGTGTGACCCTGAGCAAATCACTTAACCCTCTTTGCTTCATTTTCTTCATCTGTAAAATGAGCTGGAAAAGGAAATGGCAAACCACTCCAGTATCTTTGCCAAGAAAACCCCAAATGGGGTCACAAAGAGTCGGACACTACTGAAACAACTGAACAAAAAACAACGATAATAAAAACTCTTAAATTGAGCCAAAATATATTCTTTCTACAACTGTCATGTGAGTCACCAAACCACCTCACCCTTCAGTATGCTCCAGGCTAAATATCTAAATATCTATGTGGCTCATTCTCCAGTTTAAGTTAGTTTTTAATTTCTCAGGTGTTTTTTACAACTGGAATGGAAAAGTGGGAAGTAGGACATCCATAGTAAGAGCACAGCTGATGAAGTTAACTAGTAATTTATAGTTGGATTTTTTTAAAGTACCAATATAATCTTATTTAATTCTAAGGTTCCTGACTGAGGAACTGTTCTAATACTGTAATCATTTATTGTCTTATATATCTTTAGGCTGCTCTGACATTTTTTTGGACTAAGTACAAATAATTTAGCAGTTTAGCTTTCATTTTTATGCAACTTATAGTCAACATATTCTCATATAGATTACATATTATATATTTATATACTATATATTATACACTATATTATGTACACTATATATATATTTTTTAATAACTTAAATTCAGTGTAAAGTTAATGAGTGCTTATTTATATTCAAAACATCAACATGAAAAAATCACTCCCAAAATAGTGATAGATAACATGACCATTAATAAATTGCCAACATTAAAACAGGAAATTTTTATCATTTAACTTGATGTGAGAATCTTTTAGGGAGTACATGGACCACAGATGGAAATGTCTGTTTGAAGTCAGAAAGTTAATTATTACAGTCATCAATTGAGCCCTTAATGTAGGCTACTTAGAATTGAATGGAAAATTGTTGCTAGTCTTAAAATTTGCTCAACTTACATTTATTAATTCTTCCTTGTCCAGGTGATAAGTACCAGTTTGGAAATATGTGACAATAAACATTTTCTTTTTTCTTCTTTAATTTTTAATTTATGGAATAAAACAAGCATTTCTATAACATAGTACAATAAAAAAAGGATAATTGCATATGAAACTGCAAACCCATCATGTACAGCTTGCTATTCCTTCTAAACATGTAACAACATTATGTCTTTTTTTCCTTTTTTTTCTTCGATTTCCCCTCCACCTACCCACCCTCTGCACTACCCTAGAGATGGCTACCATTTTACACAAATATGGGGGTGTGTGTGTGTGTAAAATTATTCTAGATTATCAGTTCTTTCCCTGGTTACAGAGAGCTTCTATCTTCATATGTCATATTTAATTTGTGTATTTATAATAATCAAGATGACTTACTTGCTCAAGAGTCGTTTTAATACAACGTCGTTGTATTCGATGTTTTTGTTTTGGGGTTTTTTTGGTTTTTTTTTTTGGTTCTGCTCACTTTGTTCTTCACCATTTCACGTAAGGCATGGAAAGCCTCACTCATTTTTTATAGCACAATAGTATTCTGTCACAGCCATATACCACAACCTGTTAAGTCATTGCCCAGTTGTTGGGTATCCCTGCAACTTCCAGTTATTTGCCACCACAAAGCTGCTATAAACATTCCATTCACATCAAAAGTTATAATTACTATTTGTGAATTTCCCTTAATCTTATTTTTACCCAGTTTTTTTTTCTCAGCCTCTCTTTTTATCCTATCATTGTTACCTTATCTTCTCCCCTGACTCTTCCACTCCCCATCTCACCCACCCCTCCAAGAATTCTTCCCATACTCTTCTCACATCCTTCTGATCCCAAAAGTCCCTCCCCCACCCTGTCTGCCAGTTTTTTTATTCTACATGTTCAGAAGGCTTCCAGATGTACACATTGTTTCCTCTTCAACCCAGATGAGAGTAAGGTTCCAACATTACCGGCCCTCCAGCCCCACCTGCTTCCTCTGTATTAGTTATTCTTTTCATGCCCCATTTTTATAATATAATTTCTCTTTTACCTTTTTCCTACCCAGTTTTCTTTTTTAGAATCACCCCTCGTACACAACTTAGCCCTAACCTTTCTTTCAAACTACCTTAGTAATGATAGCAGTTTTAAGAATATGGATAACATTTTCATGTATATAATAAGTAAACAGTTAAGCATTTTCAAAATTTTTAACCTTTCACATCTTATATTAGACATTTATCATCTCTTTCTCTCATCTATAGGCAGTCAGTTACCAAACCTGCTGAGTGCTGCATTGAGAATTTCTCTTCCATCCTAATTCTCAACCACCCTAATTCAGGTTTTTATTACCTCGTACCTGGACATAATAGCCTTCCACTTGGTGTCTTGTTGTCAGGGGCTATAGACCCTCTCTAATCTACCTTTCATAGAACTTACAGAGGAGTCTTAGTAATGTTACTCCTGTACTTAAGTAACATTCATTGGCTCCCTGTTGCTGACACTTGAGGGCATTAGTCTGGATAATGTCTGGAAGAAGTCAGTCAGAAGAACGAGGCATCTTGAAAGTATATCATTATTTAGCCTAGTGGAGAGAAGATTGATAAGGGGACATGATAGATGTCTTAAGTATTTGAGGCGATCTCGGGAGGAAGAAGGAATAGACTGGTTCTACATGACCCCAGAGGACAAGAGCCAATGGCAGTGGTTGGGAGGTAGCAGAGAAGCAAATTTAGGCTTAATGTTTCAGAACTTCCTGTCAGAGCTATCTGTTTTTGTACTGGGCTGCCTGGGGCATTAGTGACTTTCCCTTCACTGTATGTCTTCAGACAAGTGTTAAACAAATTACTTGTTGAATTGTTCCTGAGTTCAGGTATGGTTTAGGTTAGTCCCTTACAACTCCAAAATTCTGTGATACTTTTTATCTTGACATTCAAATCCCATGATATAATATGGTTCTTTTTCTAATTTTCCATTCTTATCTTTTTCGAGATCTTACTTTCTTTTGGGTACTATCAAGCCAAAACTACTACTTTTCAGCTACTTGTAAAAACCCTGTGCCTTTTTTCATCCCATCTCCTGTGTCTGGAGTTAACCTCTCTCTACACTTGTCTATTTTTCTTTTTTCTTTTAGGGTCTAACTTGAGTGCCACCCTATCCACAAATCTACTCTTGGCATTCTCTCTTCTCCAGTTCTCCTCTTCCTCCTCCAGTCTTTCTCTAGATTTGTTATAGAATTTAATCTGAACCTGCCCTTTGCATTTATCACCCTCCCAGGTTTCTTACTATAACTCTTCTCCCCTACCTCCATTTAGTTTGTAAGCTTCTGGAGAGGAATGTCTGTTTCATCTCCCGTTTTTTGTATTACTCACATTTAGCACAATGCCTTGTACTTATATATTTAACTTTTGTTGACTTACTTGGAATGGGAAATCCCATCAGGGGTAATGTGAAAGTCAAACATTACATCATTTAACTAGGGATGATATGACCTTTTTTAGGTAGTCGGGATAAAATACCTAGACTATTCAAGTGATACGAAGCAATTAGAACAGTGAATGTGTAATATTTTGTTTTACTTCTGTGTGTAAATATTTTAAATGAGCTTATTTCTGAATGACTTTTGAAAAAAGAATTATGGATTATTTTTAAGGCTAAGGTAAACTATTACTAAATCCTTCTGAAATGAAGTGATGATTAAGGGCAGTTTTTAACCTAGAAATTCTTAAATTCTCTGAACCACTTTAAAGCAAAATATGACAAATATGAAAAAAACAACAACAACTGTGATATGCTTTTAAACTTAAAGGAAACTGCTTATGTCCTTCAGATATGTTTGGCTGGTAAGTAGTCATTGTGTAAAATGTCATTGAGTAAAAATTTATTTTATATGATGTATTGTCAAATATGGGCTTTTCTGTATTTAGTACATCTTCCTAAGCCTCAGTAGTCATGGTCCTATATTAGGATGTTACTGATGGATTCCAAAGATTATGTTCGATTTTTTTTTTTTGTTTTCCCTTCATTTTAATCCTTTAGGGGAAAGACATTTTCAGAATACAATTCATTTAAAAGGACTGTCATGGAATCTGGTCTATGTATAGTGACTAACTTTGTTACACAGTTAACAGTATCCATTTCTAATCTTTTTCATTCAATTTTGTTGGGAATTTATACTTTGTTATTTTTTATTTTTAAGCTTGTAATGACCAGCCTACAGTCCATTCTAGAAAATGTGGATACACCAGAATTACTCTGCAAATGTGTGAAGTGCATACTTTTGGTGGCTCGATGTTACCCTCATATTTTCAGTACAAATTTTAGGGTGAGTTTGTGGGTTCCTTTCTTCTCAAAGGGTGATAGTGGTCCATGAAAGTCAGGCTGTCTGTAGACTGGTCTTTCATAATACTTCTGTCTTAGTGTGTCTTCTTTTATTTCTGGCATGAATTAACAACTTGATAGTTAATTTAAAAGATATCATCTCCTTGATAGGTAGTGTGGCATGGAGAATATAGAGTTAGAGCTTAGAGTCAGGAAGACCTGAATTAAAATATTGCCTCTGACTTATGCTAATTGTGTGATCTTGGTAAAATAATTTAACTTCTTATTGCAGATCAGTATTGCAGAAGAGGATTTTTATATTAGGGAATTCCCTACATATAGGAAATTACAGGTCCAGTTTGCCTTGTTTTCTTACCCCCTGAAATCATCTCACTGATAGCTTGTCAAAAACAACAACAATTTTCCCTCTTGGTCCTTTTTAGTTTTTTAGGCGAGAAAGAGTCTGTGGAATAGATGGTCTTTTACTTTGAAGTATACTGAAAATGGGAAAAAATAATAAATCCACAGAAACATTAGATTAATTAAAACCCTTTTTTCTCCCGCAAGGATACGGTTGATATATTAGTTGGATGGCATATAGATCATACTCAGAAACCTTCTCTGACTCAGCAGGTGTCTGGTAAGTATTTTAGTCTATAAATTTTAGAGTCTTTTTTTACTCTATAAAGATTAAATATTATGACTTAAAGAGAATGCATGCTGTATGGAAGTACTTGATTTTCTTGAATATAAATAACATTTTTTCTACTTTGTAGGAATAATGAGATCATTATAGGGAATCAGTAAATTTTTCAAAGGAAAGTAATTCTTAAGTGTTTTTTCTATGATGATCTCATTATCTGACTTAACATGAATAGTGACACTCCTTTGAAGTAGATGACAATTAGTAACTTAGTAAATTTCAGAAGTGGCGGAAGAAGCAAGTTAATTGTCATTAGTTAAATTGGTTATCAAGAACACTTCTATCAAGAAATTAGGATAGATTTAAGGAGAATAGGCAAGTGCTTAAAAAACAAAGCAAAAAAAACTTTTAAATTGATTACATTGATGAGTAAATACTGTTTGTTGATTTTATTTATGTTCATTAAGTCTCCTTCTCTTCAGCATTTTCACTTCCTACCTTATTTGATTCTTAAAAGAAACCTGTGAAACAGGTAGACAGCTGGATTAGGTCTCAGTTTATAGAGAGTCAACTTAGGTTTTAATTTCTTTAAGGCATTTTCCCGAGTTCATTTGTCAAATTAATGGCTGAATTAAAGCTAGAACCAAAGTATTAGATGTAGTGAGTTTGTTCATTTTGGATTAATACCATATTTAGAAAAAAAACTTTTACATGTTAAATTTTGGAAGTTTGATTTTATATATACTTTTCTGCAGTGTAATATGGTATTTAAAATTATATATTTTACTTCTTGATCTAAAATGAAGTTAAATACTTTTGAAGGGTGGTCAATTTAAAAATTAGGGTTGGTCAAAGCCAAGTAAAATATATTTTCTTTGGTCACTCTCATCTTTTAAAATTTATCTTATACTTTCCCTAGGATGGTTACAGAGTCTGGAGCCATTTTGGGTAGCTGATCTTGCATTTTCTACAACTCTTCTTGGTCAGTTTCTAGAGGATATGGAGGCTTATGCTGAGGTAAGCATGTGAACAGAAATTTTTTTTTTTAATTTCAGCAGAAATTTTTAAAAATTTAAGACATATAACTACACCCCATAAATTATGGTATGTTGTCTCATTGTCACTGTCTTTGGTGGTATTATTGATTGTTTCTATGATTTGTTGTTTGACCCACTCATTTTTTAGGTTTAGATTATTTTGTTTCCAATTAATTTTTAGTCTATCTTTCCATGGCCCTTTATTGTACTTTATTGCGTCATGATCTGAAATGGATGCATTCAGTATTTCTGCCTTTCTGCATTTGAGTGTGGAGTTTTTGTGCACTAATACATTGTCAGTTTTTGTGTCGGTGCCACGTACTGCTGAGAAAAAAGGTATATTCCTTTCTATCCCCATTCAGTTTTCTCCAGAGGTCTCTTGTATAGTTCTGAAATTTGACTACAGTATTCTTTGGAGTTTTCATTTTGGAGTCTCTTTCAGGAAGGTGATCAGTGAATTCTTTCAATGACTATTTTACCCTCCAGTTCTAGGATATCAGGACAGTTTTCCTTGATAATTTCTTGAAAGATGCAATCTAGGCTCTTTTTTTTGATCAGGTAGTCTAGTAATTCTTATATATTTCCTGGATCTATTTTCCAGGTCAATTGTTTTTCCAATAAGGTATTTTACATTTTCTTCTATTTTTTCGTTCTTTTGATTTTGTTTGACTGATTCTTGATGTCTCATAGAGTCGTTAGCTTCCATTTGTCCAATTCTAATTTGTAAGGAATTATTTTCTTCAGTTAACTTTTGTACTTTCTTTGCCATTTGGCCAATGCTACTTTTTAAGGATTTTCAGTGGGTTTTTTTTTTTTCCATTTAGCCAATTCTATTTTTAAGGAGCTATTATCTTCAGGGAATTTTTGTGCTTCCTTTCCCAAGCTGTTGACACTTTTTTTTATAATTCTCCTGCATAACTTTCATTTCTTTTCCCAATTTTTCTTCTACGTCTCTTACTTGATTTTTAATATCCTTTTTGAGCTCTTCTAAGAGGACTTTTTGGGCTTGAGACAAATTCATATTCCCCTTTGAGGCTTCACCTGTAGGCATTTTGAGATTGTTGTCCTCTTTGGAGTTTGTTTTTTGATCTTCCATGTCACCGTAGTAGCTTTCCATGGTCAGGACTCTGCTTTTTGGTCATTTTTTGAAGTTGAACTCTGCTTTAGGGCATAGGGTGCACTGTCCCAAGCTTCTTGCACTGAGGGCCAGGGGCCTGGACACTATGTGTGCTGCGCTGCACTCCCCTTTTACCCAAGTGAGACAAGCCTTTCCTGAAGTCCTTATCTTAAGCTGGAAAAGTGTTTCACTCTGTCTTTTTGTGACCTCTGTCACTCCAGAATCTGTTTTGAGGCTTTATTCGTTGTTTCCAAGGGAAACCAGGGAGAGCTCAAACAACTTCCAGGCGTCTGTCTTCCATCTTGGTTCCACCTCTCTCTCAATTGCCAAATCTTAATGGTTTTTTCCCATTCATAATTTTTCTCCCTCCCACCTGCTACATTTGACACTGCTGACCATTCTCTTCCTCCTGGGGGCTCTTTCTTCTCTGGGTTTTCATGACACCTCCTTTCTCATAATCACTCCTCAGCCTCCTTTGCTGGCTCATCATCCATGTCATGCCCCCTAATTGTAGGTATACTTCAGTGTTGTTTCCTCGGCTCTCTTCTCTCCTTCCCCTACACTCTCCTTTGGTAAACTCATCAGCTCCTTTGGATTTATCTGTCACCTCTATGCAGATGACTCACAAATCTATGTATCTATCTCCACATCACCAATTGCTTGTCAGTAATTTCAAACTGGATATTATAGAAACATCTCAAACTCAGTATGTCCAAACCTGAACTCATGATTCCTGTCTCCATTCCCACCACACCTTCCCCTCTTCCAAATTTTCCTACTTCTGTTGAAGTCACCACCATCTGTCCCATCCCACCTCCCAGGCTGGTGACCCTAGCATTACCCTTGACTCTTTCTTCTCCCCTACCTTTCACATCCAATCTTGCCTTTTCTACCTCCACAGCTTCTCTTGCATCAATCCTTTTTTCTCCATTCAAACAACCATTTTAGTTCAGGCTCTCATCAAATCTCACCTAGATTATCACAACAACTTCTTAGTAGTTCTCCCTGCCTCATGTTTTTCCCCACAAATACCAATGTGATTTTCCTGAAGTGCAGATTTAATCATGTGTCTCTTCTACTCAGTCAACTCCAATGACTTCCTGTTACCCCTAGTATAAATTAAATTCCTCTACTTGGGAGTTCTGCTTCTGGGAGCCAAGATGGCAGAGTAAGAAGTAAGTTGCTCTCACCTTCTCTTATTGACATCTGAAAGCCCCAAAAATATTGACCTAGGAAAAACCCTGGAACAGTGGAGCCAGCCAAAAGATAGGGCACAGTGGTCTTCTACCCCAGGAAGCTTAGGGGATTAGTGGGAAAGGCCCCTCTTGCTCTGGGGAAGGGGGAGCAGTCCAGGATGAGAAGTGTCCCCACTAGCCAGCGGCAAGCTCCATCTCATCGTACCAGGGGGAGATCCTGAGACCCAGGGTGGTGGAGCAGGCAAGTGCCAATACCAGGACCCCCCAAGAGCCTCAGTACAGGCAGGGGAACTGGTAGACACCAGCTCAGAAAACTACCATGGTAACGGCATTCTGCAGCAGCCAAATCACCAGGTGCCTCAGCACAACTCTGGGAAGCACAACTCCAGTAGGCAAAGCTCCAGGCTGACGGACATCCTCCAACAACGAAACGTTCCTGTGCAAGGCCCAGGTGAGCAGGAGAAGGAGCTTGGGTACTTGCCCCCTGCACTCCAACAGGAGAGCTCAACTTTAAAAAGAAAAAAAAAAAGGTCAGGAAATAGGCAAACACCATGAGCAAAAAGCAGAAACGGACAATCACTATAGATTCTTATTATGGAGACAGGGAAGATCAAGGCACAAATCCAGAAGAGGACAACATTGTCAGTATACCCACATCCGAAACCTCAAAAGGGCATATGAACTGATCTCAAGCCAAAAAAGCCTTCTTGGAAGAGCCCAAGAAGGATTTTAAAAGTCAAATAAGAAAGCTGGAAGAAAAATTGGGGGGAAAAATGAGAGATATGCAAGAGAGAGGCAATTGCTTGGAAAAGGAAATAAAAAAATTAACTGTAGAAAACAAGTCCTTAAAAAATACAGTTGGCCAAATGGGGAAAAAAAAGTAAACTGAAGAAAACAACTCCTTCAAAAGCCAAATGGAAAAGGAGGTACAAAATCTAATAGAAGAAAACAATTTGTTAAAAATTAGAATTGGGCAAATGGAAACTAATGACTCCATGAGAAATAAAATCATTCAAACAGAAACAAAAGAATGAAAAAAATAGAAGAAAATGTAAAGTACCTCATTGGTAAAATAACTGACCTAGAAAATAGATCCAGGAGAGACAGTTTAAAAAATTGTTAGTCTACCTGAAAACCATGATGAAAAAAAGAGCCTGGACAATATCCTTCAGGAAATCATCAAAGAAAACTGCTCTGAGGTCCCAGAACCTGAGAGTAAAATAGTCATTGAAAGAATCCACCAATCACCTCCTGAAAGAGAGATCCAAGTTAAACACACCAAGGAATATTGTAGCCAGATTCCAAAATGACCAGATCAAAGAGAAAATACTTCAATCAGCCAGATAGAAACAATTGAGATATCATGAAACCACAGTCAGGGTTACACAGGACCTTTCAGCTTCTACATTAAAAGATTGTGGGGCTTGGAATATGATGTTCCTTCAGGCAAAAGAGCTTGGATTACAACCAAGGATCAACCCAGCAAAGTTGAGCATGATCTTTCAGGGGAGGAGATGGACATTCAATGAAATAGGGGACTTCCAAACCTTCCTGCTGAAAAGACCAGAGCTCAGTGGAAAATTTGATCTTCAAATACAAGACTCAAGAGAGGCGTAAAAAGGTAAACAGGAAAGAAAAAAACGTTATTAACAAGGGCAAACTGTTTACATCTACAAGGGGAGATGACGCTTGTAACTCTTTGAGAACTGTAATGTTATTATGACATTATGACATGATATACTTAGAGGATGTGGGTATAAGTTGACTTTGATGTGATGATAAAAATCTAATTAAGTGGTGAAAAGGGATTGTAGTGGGAGAAGAGGAAAGGAGGAGGCAGACCAGGAATCAATGCACAAAAACAATTGAGGGAAAGAAGGGAGGGAAATGAGCATTGTTTGAACCTTACTCTTATCAGATTTGGCTCAAGGAGGGAATAACATAATCAGTTAGGTATAGAAATCTAACACATCCTATAGGAAGTAGGAAGGGGAAAGGAAAAGAGAAGGGAGGGAAGAAGTAGAAAGGGTGAAAGAGAAGAAAAGGGAGGGGGCTAATAGGAGGGAAGCAGTGGTCAAAAGCAGAACTCTAGTGAGGAAGGAAAGAGAGAAAGGAGAGAGAAAAGTATAAACAGGGGAAATAGGACAGAGAGAGACACAGATGGTAATCATAACTGAATGTGAATGGGATGAACTCTCTCATAAAACGGAAAAAGATAGCGTAGATTGAGAACCATAATCCTACAGTATGTTTATAAGAAACACATTTGAGGCAGAGGGATACACACAGAGTAAAGGTAAAAGGCTGGAGCAGAATATATTATGCTTCAGCTGAAGTGAAAAAAGCAGGGGTAACAATCCTAATCTCAGACAAAGCAAAAGCAAAAATAGATCTAATTAAAAGAGATAAGGAAGGGAACTACATCCTGCTAAAAGGCACCATAGACAGTGAAGTAATATCATTACTAAACATTTATGCACCAAGTGGTATAGCAGCCAAATTCTGAAAGAAGTTAAGGGACAGGAAAAAATGGACAGCAAAACTATACTAGTGGGGGGCTTAACCTCTCCTTCTTAGAACTAGATAAATCTAACCACAAAATAAACAAGAAAGAAGTTGAGAGGAATAGAATTTTAGAAAAGTTAAATACGGTTGACCTCTGGAGAAAACGGAATGGGGACAGAAAAGAAGTATACCTTTTTCTCAGTGGTACATGGCACCTACACAAAAATTGACTACGTAGTAGGGCATAAAAACCACACAATCCAATGCAGAAAGGAAGAAATATTAAATGCACCCTTTTCAGATCATTATGCAATAAAAATTAATTGGAAACTGATCAAAACCTAAAAAATGAGTGAGTCAAGCAACAAATCATAGAAATAATCAATAATTTCATCCAAGAGAATGACAATAATGAGACAACATACCAAAACTCATGGGATGCAGCAAAAGCAGTTCTTAGGGGAAGTTTTATATCCAAAAATGCTTACATGAATAAAACAGAAAGAAGAGATCAGTGGATTGGACATGCAACTAAAAAAGCTAGGAAAAAGCAAATTAAAAGTCCCCAATTAAATACCAAATTAGAAGTTCTGAAAACCAAAGGAGAGATTAATAAAATTGAAATTAAAAAAAACTATTGAACTAATAAATAAAACTAAAAGCTGGTTTTATGAAAAAAATAAAATAAAATAGATAAACCTTTGGTTAATTTGATTTTAAAAAAGAAAGAAGAAATCCAAATTACCAGCATCAAAATGAAAAGGAATGAAGAGGAAAAATAATAATTAGGAACTATTTTGCCCAACTGTATGCCAATAAATTTGACAATCTTAGTGAAATGGATGAATGTTAACAAAAATATAAATTGCTCGAATTAACAGAAGAGGAAATAAAATACTTAACCCCATTTCAGAAAAAGAAATTAAGCCATCAGTGAATTCCCTAAGAAAAAATCTTCAGGGCCAAGTGGATTTATAAGTGAATTCTAATCAAACATTTAAAGAACAAGTAATTCCAATGCTATATAAACTATTTGGGAAAATAGGTGAAGGAGTCTTATCAAATTCTTTTTATGTTGCAAGTATGGTGCTGATACCTAAACCAGGAAGAGCCAAAACAGAGAAAGAAAATTATAGACCAATTTCCCTAATGAATATGATGCAAAAATTTTAAATAAAATATTAACAAGAGATTGCAACAACTTATCTCGAGGCTAATACACTATGACCAGGTAGGATTTATGCCAGGAACGCAGTACTGGTTCAGTATTAGGAAAACTATCAGCATAATTGACCATAATCAACAACAAAACTAACATATCCTGTGATTATCTCAATAGATGTAGAAAATGCATATGACGAAATATAATACCTATTCCAATTAAAAACACTAGAGAGCATAGGAATAAATGGAGTCTCCCTTAAAATGATAGGTAGCATCTTTCAAAAACCATTAGCAAGCATTATGTGTAATGGGGATAAGCTAAAAGCATTTCCAGTAAGATCAGGGGTGAAACAAGGTTGCCCATTATCACCACTGTTACTCAATATTGTACTAAAAATGCTTCAGCAATTAGAAAAGAAAAAGAAATTGAAGGAATTAGAATAGGCAACAAAGAAACAAAACTATCACTCTTTGCAGATGATATGATGGTATACTTAGAGAATCCTAGAGAATTAAGTAAAAATTACTTGAAATAATAAACAAATTTAGCCAAGTTACAGAATATAAAATAAATCCCCATAAATCATTGGCATTTCTATATACTACTAACAAAGCCCAACAGCAAGAGATAGAGAAATTCCATTTAAAATTACTGCAGACATAAAATATTCGAGAGTCTACCTGCCAAAACAAACCTAGGATCTATATGAACACAATTACAAAACACTTCACACAAATAAAGTCAGATCTACATAATTGGAAAAATATCAGTTGCTCATGGGTAGGCCAAGTTAATATAATAAAAATGACAATTCTACCTAAATTGATTTACTTATCCAGTGCTATATCAATCAAACTACCAAAAAATTATTTCATAGAGCTAGAAAAAAATAATAAAATTCATCTGAAAGGAGAAAAGGTCCACAATATCAAGGGAACTAATGAAAAGAAATGGTAGGGAAGGTGGCCTAGCTGTTTCAGATCTTAAATTGTATTATAAGGCAGCAATCAAGTAGAATAGGTTCGGTGTGCAAGACACAATAGTCAGTGACTATACCAAACTACTATTTGATAAATACAAAGACTCTCGCTTCTGAGATAAGAAGTCACTGTTTAATCAAAACGACTGGGAAAACTGGAAAATAATAGTATGGCAGAAACTGGGCATAGACCAACATCTTACACCTTATACCAAGATAAAGTCAAAATGGGTACAAGATTTAGATATAAAGACTGATACTATAAGCAAACTAGGACAGCGAGGAATAGTTTACCTTTCAGATCTATGGGGAAGGGAAGAATTTATGACCGAACAAGAGAGAGAGGACATTATGAAATGCAAAATGGATAATTTTGATTACATTAAATTTAAAAGTTTTTGCACAAACTAAGCCAATGCAAGCAAGATTAGAAGGGAAGCAGAAAACTGGGAAAGAATTTTTATAACCAGTGTCCCATTTCTAAAATACGTAGAGAATTGGTCAAATTTATAAGAATACAAGTAATTCTCCGATTGATAAATAGTCAAAGAATACGAACAGGTAGTTTTCAGATGAAGAAATTAAAGCTATCTATACTCACGAAAAAATGTTCTAAATCACTATTGATTAGAGAAATGCAAATCAAAACAACTCTTGAGGTACCACATCACACCTATCAGATTGACTAACATGACAAAACAGGAAAATGATAAATGTTGGAGAAGATGTGGGAAAATTGGAACATTAATGCATTATTGGTGGAGCTGTGAACTGATTCAACCATTTTGGAGAGCAATTTGGAACTATACTCAAAGGGCTATAAAAATGTGCATACCCTTTGACCCAGCAATAGCACTTCTAGGGCTGTATCCCAGAGAGACCATAAAAATGGGAAAAGGACCCACATATACAAAAATATTTATTATAGCTTTTTTTGTGTTGGCAAAGAATTGGAAATTGAGGGAATGCCCGTCAATTGGGGAGTGGCTGAACAAGTTGTGGTATATGAATGCAATGAAATACTATTGTGCTATAAGAAGTGATGAGCAGGCTAACTTCAGAAAAACCTGAAAAGACATATATTCACTGATACTGAGTGAAATGAACTGAACCAGGAGAACATTATACACAGTAACAGCCACATTGTGCGATAACTGACCTTGATAGACTTGGCTTTTCTCAGCAATGCAAGGATTTAAGGCAACTCCAAAAGACTCATGATGGAAAATGATATCCACATCTAGAGATAGAACTATAGTCCTAGTGCAGATGGAAGCATACTATTTGTTCTTTTCTTTTATTGTTTTGTTTTATTGCTTCATTCTCATGGTTCCTTCCATTAGTTCTGATTCTTCTTTATATCATGACTAATGTGAAAATATGCGTAATATGAATGTATAAGTAAAACCTCTATCAGATTGCAGGCCTGTCTTGGGGAGGAGGGAGGAGAAAATTTAAAAGTCAGTCTTATAGAAGTGAATATTGAAAATTAATAAACTATTTCAAAAAAATAAATTTTCTTCTTGGCTTTTAAAGTACTAGAAAAACCTGGACCCAAATTAACTATGTAATCTCATTATACATGAATTCCCCCTCATACATGCTGTGATACGGCCATATTGACCCTCTCAGCTTCTCATGTAACGTAACTATCTTTATGATACCAGTCTCCACGATTTTAGACTGGCAGCCTCTCCTGCCTAGAATGAACTCTTTTGTTGCCTCTGCTTTATGGAGACCTTCTCTTCAACACACAAGTATCCTTTAACATTAACATCAAGCATCATTTGCTTGAAGCTTTCTTCTTTCTTTACCTCCTCCCACAATTGTTAATACCCTCCTTTCCAGACTACCTATTATTTAGCAACTTTGTTTTATATTTGCATTTATTTATGCTGTACACATCCATATTTGTATTTTCTTCCTCCTTAGAATGTAAGCTTTTTTTGAGTCAAGAGTATTAAATTTTTTTATACTTGTAACCTCAGTATCTAGCATATTAGCTGGTGCATGATAGGGATTTAAGTATCTACAGGATAAAATTTACTCTTTACCTTGGAAGTCAAGATTTTTCACAAAGTTTTTTCATCCCTATTCCTCCAATAGAACTTTTGGCTCACAGTAGATTGGTCTGTTTTCAGTTATGTAAAAAACTTATGCACATTCTCACCTCATAGCCTTTACTCAAGACATTTCTCACATCTGAGTGTAGGTTCCTCAACATTTTTTCACCTAGATTAAAAGCCTGAAGTTTTCTTTAAGACCTAATTCTATGTTGCCTTTCCAGATTAGTCCAGTGAAAAATTTTCTTCTTCAAATTTATAGCATCTGTTATCCATATCACTTACCACAATACAAGATGGTATAAAATTTCCTGTGTTATTTTGTAACTTAACTTAATGTATTGCCTAATTTTTGAGTGTTTTCTCTACCCTACATAATTGGTAGATTCCTTAAGGACAGGGATTTACTTAGCAAAATGGTGTATAAGAAGTAACAGCAAAAGTATTTGTTGAGTAAGTAAATCAGAAACCTTTTGAAAATTCTGAGAGACGTTATGTAACTAGTCTGTTTTAATATTTTGTGGATGAGGAAACTGAGGCATAGAGAGTTGAAGTTTCTTGGCCAAAGTTGCCAAGTGAGTAAGTGGTAGAACTTGGATTCACAGAAATATTCTTGTCACTCCAAATACAGTGATCATTCTACTGCACTGCTAGAGTAGAAATTATTTCCTTTATCAACTAGATTTAATTAGCATTAATTTGAAAGAAGAGATCCATTTCCTTTTTCCATTTTTTTTTTGTTGTCTGTACCAAATATTTACTTTTCAGACTAGAATTATTTTTAATCTGTTCATGGGACTTATTTACTTACATGTATTCATAAATGACTGTTCTGTATCTTATTTAGGACCTCAGCCATGTAGCCTCTGGGGAGTCAGTAGATGAAGATATTCCTCCTCCATCAGTATCATTACCAAAGTTAGCAGCTCTTCTTCGGGTATTCAGTACTGTGGTAAGAAGTATTGGGGAGCGCTTCAGCCCAATCAGAGGTCCTCCAATTACTGAAGCATATGTAACAGATGTAAGTTTTTTTTTAAAGTACCCTTTATATATCATTAAGAAAAAAAGAGAACCTCTCAGTTCTTTAAGCCCTAGTAACTTTTAATTTTAACTGTTCTAACAAACTTGATTATCTGTTTTCTCAGTTTCTTAGTAAAATGATTAAAAGAAGCAAATCAGGAAGGAGGAGAGGATTGCTTAAAGAGGTAGACATGCTGACAACAAAGGAAGAGACAAAAGCTATAAAAGAATAGAAGTATAGCAAATAAGAGCCCATTTTTAAAGAGACAAAACAGCTCTCACATCTCAGCAGCTATTGAGAGTATCACTGTATTATGGCATAGTATAATAACATGTTTATAATAATAAAGTTAAGATTATATCCTCTGCTTAGAAAGGCAGGGAAATAATGTAATATATTTTAGAATGATTTGTATTGTGAATGGTTTCAAATTATTTGTGGTTAAAAGGATATAAACCTTCAAGACAAAAATAACTACTTAATGATTCTATAATGCTTAGATAAGTCATATCTTTCTGTACTGATAATCCTTATTTAATGACAAGAATGGGTTAGGTAGTGTTCTCATTCAGATAAATGAGATGAACACATTGATGTGTAAGCCAAATCTCTGCATTTCACGTTCTTGTTGTTCCTGTCTTTGTTAGAGCTATGATTAGTCTTTAAAAGCTCCAAGAAGCTGTGGCATGCGCAGTGGCCATACCACCATAAAACCATCTCAGTAGATGGGCTAAATAAAATTGAGGGTATTGAAGAGGCCTTGAGCCCATCTGTGAGTTAGGGGATGTCTGCTCCAAGCATGTGAAGACTTCCCCTGCTGAAATGGGTGGATAAGAACAGTTTGTTCCTACAGCCATGAAGGCAGCTGAAGTAGGCACTGTAGAGGTGCATACAGCTTGGTTAGACATTGAAGACACTAAGGTCATCCACTGCATCATGAGCTATTCCCAATCATCTTGATTTTTGTCTTGCCACTGGACTTCAGTGACTCTGGAAGAGAGGCTGACAACTTGGTGTAACTCTGTCTCAAATCCAATTCATAAACAAGTCAAGACCCCATGATGTCATTGACCCTCTTCGGAAAGGAAAGATAAACAACAGCAAAAGCAGATCTGTAGGCAGTTAAATAGCTCACTGAAACATAAAGTAGGGGTAGCTAGGTGGCGCAGTGGATAGAGCACCGGCCCTGGAGTCAGGAGGACTTGAGTTCAAATCTAGCCTCAGATACATATAACACTAGCAGTGTGACCCTGAGCAAGTCACTTAACTCCATTGCCTAGACTAAATAAATAAAGTGAATCAAGCTGATTAATATTATATAACTATCACAGATTTTAATTTAGACTTTTAGTAAAAAGCATTTTTAATCCTATTTAGGCTTTTTAATTGCTTTCTTATTGTGACCAATGATTAAAGAATTTTGTTAAAAATTATTATATTCTAGCATTAGTCTACTTTCTTTTCCCTGATTTGTATTCATTGGAAATTTAGTATATAAGTAATGATTATCCTACTTGAAAAATTATTTAAAATGTTCTAAAATATACTCATCCTGGCAACTAGTACTTATTGTTGGTCAAAATCTTTTCTTAACTTTTGAAACAGTCCACAGTTTAAAAAGGAAAATGGATCAGTTGCAAGAGCAATAATGTTATTTTGCTATTCATCATGCTTAGGCAACTTGTCATCCTTTTACAAAATCTCTTTTATTGTTAACTTTAGTTACAACAATAAATTTGTATTAGAATGAATTCCAGTTTAGTCTCTAGAATTTTCTGGCTTAAGGCCATTTTAGTGTTTTAACAACTTATTGAACATCCTCATTATTTAATTAATGTAAAATACTCTTATCATTTGTAAATAAATTCAGACCAGGACAGTGGAGAGAACACTGACTTTAGAGTCAGAGGATCTGGATCCAAATTCTGGATCTGATAGCATTTTGGCAATCTGACACTCACTTTGACAAGTCACTTAGTAGGTGACTCCCTGAACCTCAGTTTCCTGACTGTAAGATGATTGGTTGGAGGTTCTTTCTACCTCTAGATCTCTGATCCTGTCATCCTAACAAAGATTATTTTTTTTAACAATAAAAGATAACTTTTTTTTTTAAAAAGAATTATTTTTCCCCTTTTGCAGGTACTGTACAGAGTAATGAGATGTGTTACAGCAGCAAACCAAGTGTTTTTTTCTGAGGCAGTTTTGACAGCTGCCAATGAGTGTGTTGGTGTTTTGCTTGGTAGTCTAGACCCTAGCATGACTATACATTGTGACATGGTCATCACATATGGATTAGATCAGTTGGAGAATTGCCAGACTTGTGGTACAGATTATATCATCTCAGTCTTGAATTTGCTCACATTGGTAAGTACTTCATTCTAGTTTTTGTTGCCTTTTAATTTATTGAGTTATGGTTTATTCAGGCCTTTGAATTTAAAATGGTAGGTTGGAAACTTTTAAAAATTTACTTTTAGACATTCTTTATATACATATATATTTTTTTTTTCCAGCCAAAGACAAGGTTTATTAAAGATCTGCCATATTGGCCAGAGTCTTTAGGAGTCTGAACATTAGTGAGCTTTTGGGTAGATTATAAGAATCTGAGCACCTTAATAGTGACAAGATGGACCTTATGTACAGAAAGACTGTAGGAGGGATCTAGGAATGGCCAAGTAGTTTGGGGTAACTGGAGGAAAGGTTTAAGGAAGATCTGGATGAGTGACCAGTAAGCTGCAGTGAACAGAACTCCTGGGACCTGGACCACATGGCCAAGGGAGAATGGAGCCTAGTTAGGGTTAAGGGTGGGAAATGGCTGGGGGCCATAGGGAGGTAAAACAGTGGAGAGCTAGGCTTGATTAAATGTAACAGATTGGGCATAGTCACAGTGAAAGGCCAGTTGATGGGATTATAGCCTCAGGAGAATGCCAGAGATATGGCCATGTGGGAAACAGATTTTTTTCCTTTTTGGGGTCAACATCCCATCCTTATCATTCCCCCTCAAACAAAAGGAACTCAAATACTTTTGGGGTAAGGGGCAAAGGTCTTGGCTTCTGAAACTGCTTCCTGCTGGCAAGGGGTGTAGAGCTGTCCCTGCCTGGAGGGGGTTCCAAAGTGCTGAGAGGGAATGATTGGGGGACATTGGCTAGTAGCCACTGTTTACTGCCGACTGTAGGTGAATGGCCTGTAGTCTGGAAGACACAAATCTGACAGAAAACACTGCAGGTTCAGATATAAAGTAGGGACTAGATTAGGGCCCAAATATGAGAGGATAAAACATCCTTAGCTCTCTTTGGATTCAGATAATTCAGTTTTCCAACCATGCAGTATCAAATCCACCTCATAGCCAGACTCAGGAATAACCAGGTAGGTAACATTCCCTTTCAAAGGAATATAATGGGGAAACTGAGCCAGGATGATCCCATCTTAGACTGAAGCTAAAATTGTCTTCTCAGCTTTTCCCAGTGCTGACTTCCCACCAGTATCACATTCTCTGAGTAGCTTGTGGCATTGCTCTCAGATGGTGGGTTATTGATGATCAATGGATTATGATCCACCAGACAGCTCAAAATAAAATCCTATGAGCTTTTACCTCAAACAGCAAGTTTCACTAATCACAGCTTAGGAAATAACAGTTAAAACTACAAATTTAAATGAGGGTGCTTACCCAAGTTCAGAGGCTAGCTTTTTTATTACCTTGAGCAGGATGCTTCCAGGCAAAGGTTTCCCCAGGGCACAAGGCCATTGGCAGGGAGGCCTGTACTTGTAGTTGCTGCCCCTCCCCTCTCCTTCCTTTCACACACAGGGGAGGGTAAAATCAAAGGTGAGGGGTAAAGGGTGAAAAGAGTTTCTTCTGCTATGAGAGGGCTTAACAGATACCCTCTTGACTCAAGGGAAGAGAGTGGGAGAAAAGAGTGACCAGGGTTGTAAGGAGGAGTTTCAAAACTCCTTAATGATCAGTCACAAAACCTCCAGAATCTGCCAAGATATTTTTATATAACTTTTCCCTGTAACCTCTATGAAGGAGGATTCAGAGGTGTAGAGGGAAAGGAGTAAGTAAGTCAGCCTCAGGGAACCACAAAGCAACTGCAGTTTTCCCCAGTTCCCTAGTGCTGAGAGAATTGACAGAATTGGGCATACACTTCCAGAAAGGGCGTCCGTCCTTGTCCTCTGTGCTGTGGAAGGTGTACCCAGGTCCATGGCCTGGTACCGACCCAGTGGATTGAGAGCCTGAGAGCATCAGGCTGAGTACAGGACAGCCTCCTAACTGTCTGCCAGAAAAGCACCTCCAAGCCTTGGTGCTTGGAGAGTGGCCCGAACTGCAGAGCAAGAAAGGAGGAGGGGGAGGCTTATATACCTTCCAGTCTTGGCTGGAGAAGAACTTGGGGGTTAGGCAATTTCCCCGTACGGGCCACCAAAATGTTGAGGTTTAGGGGTGCCAGCACTTCAAAATCACAACAAGCAGGTCCTGCCCGAAAAAATTCGACCCACGCCTTCTTTCAACCAAAGACAAGGTTTATTAAAGATCCACCATATTGGCCAGACTCTTAAGGAGTCAGAACATTAGTGAGCTATTGGTTAGATTGTAAGAATCTGAGAATTTAGCTCGAATAAAAGATGTTCTTTATATTAAGGGAATTTTTCATATTTTTTTAATAGTATAATGTGCTTTTCCTGGTATAATATTTTCGTTCATTTTATTGCTATTTAAGTTCTCAAATATTTTTAAGTTATTTATAGTGTCAAAGCTTTCCTTACAAATCAGTCTCCACAGTATTTCTAGGCATTGTACAAGGTCATAGAAGTACTTAAACAGTCATTTTGGGGACTCCCCATTATGTTTTGCTTCTTTTCCATTTCCACTTTTGTGTAACATTTTTAAAATGGTTTAATTTACTTTTCTTCTTTGAACCGATGGCTTTTATATTAAGTTTACAGAGTTTAGTAGGTTAATCTTATTTAAGGTTATTTTCAATTAAAATGGCATACGAAGTTTTAAAATTAGTTCATGAGGTTTGGGATTTTAAAAACATAAATGAGACAAATATTGTTATCTTATGCTTTTAGATTGTTGAACAGATAAATACAAAATTACCATCATCATTCGTAGAAAAACTGTTTATACCAGCATCTAAACTACTACTTCTGCGTTATCATAAAGAAAAAGAGGTGAGTAATAAATACATACAAAGCTAATTTGTGAGGAAAGGGGATCTGTAAACATTTTTATATTTTATCACAGAGGACATAAATACCTGTTAAATAATCTGATTAATGCTTGTTCTCTGAATTTCAGGATTGAAATGAATTCTTTGAATAAATAATTATTGTATGATAATGTGTTATATTATTATAATTATTATTATTAAATATGTTTATAATATTTAGATCAAAATTAAATTTTAAGTTAAATGTATCATATAATAATACAAATATAATTATTATAGAACCATACTGGGATATGTTGAAGGAAACTAGATTTTCATGTGGCAGGCAGATTTTTTTAAATTTAATTTAAAATTTTAAATGTCTATCATTTCATCATCATCATAAAGATTTAAGCCAGTTGCTAAAACTTTTGACCGGGCTCTACACATGCATTTGAGATCTGTAATTTTATAGTTGTAAAATGAAATTTGTGAATAGGACTTGTTTTTGTAAGGAATTACTTTTCAGTTTTCTAACTTCTTGATGTACCCAAATAACAAAGAAAAAAACTATATAAAACTAAACACAGGAAATGCTCCTTTCAAGCATTTTTCTTTAGAAATTTGCTTTTCTTGTAGTGTTTTTAGAAAATTTATTGTGATTTCTTCAAATTAATTACTTAATACCTTATATTTGTGTGATCCTTGACAGCTTTCAAAGCATATGCTGAAAATTTGGAGCTTGAAAATATGTCAGAAATGAGCTGAAATAGAAAAATTACCCTTTTTTTTTTTTTGAGTTGTGTTCTTAAATTTTTAAGGTTGTTGCTGTAGCTCATGCCGTATATCAAGCTGTACTCAGCCTGAAGAATATTCCTGTTTTGGAGACTGCCTACAGGTTGATTTTGGGAGAAATGACTTGTGCACTAAACAATCTCCTGCATAACCTACAACTTCCTGAAGCCTGTTCTGAAATCCAACATGATGCTTTTAAAAACCACGTATTCAATGTAGACAATGCAAAATTTGTAGTTATATTTGACCTCAGTGCATTAACCACAATTGGAAATGCCAAAAACTCACTGATTGGGGTAAGTCTTTAGTATTTTTTTTGGTCCATCCTTCCTATTTATTTCTAAAATATCAACTATGTTTGGCTAGAATCACATCGTTGTGACTCCAAAATTACTATTCAGGGAATGTCTAAACGTTCCTTTCAAAGAGTCAGATTGGCATAAATATACTTTCTAATTGTTGCTGAGTAAGTATATCTTTCTCACTTTTATTAGGAATATTTTTAATGACAGTTAAATGAGTATGCACAAGATAAGGCAATTTAAGAGTTGCCATTATTATGGATGTTATAGAGGTATTTAAAAATCTTTTTTAAAAAAATGTCTGAGGCAGCTAGGTGACTCAGTGGATAGTATACTCTGCTTGGAGTCAAGAAGACCTGAGTTCAAATCCAGCCTCAGACACTTACTAGCTGTGTGACCCTAGGCAAGTCACTTAACCTCTGTATGCCTTAATCCACTGGAGAAGGAAATGGCAAACCACTCCTGTATCCTTGCCAAGAAATTCCAGTGGACAATATTGGCCAGCAATGGTCCATGGGGTCACAAAGAATCAGACACAACTGAACAATAACAAATTTGGGGGGCAGCTAGGTGGGCAGACTCATCTTCCCGAATTCACATCTGGCCTCAGACAATTACTAGTTGTGTGACCCTAGCCAAGTCAATTGACCCTGTCTGCTTCAGTTTCCTCTTCTGTAAAATGAACTGGAGAAGGAAATGGCAAACTACCCCAGGACTCTGCAAAGAAAACCCCAAATGGGGTCATGCAGAATCAGACACGACTGAAGCAACTGAACAACAAAACAATAGAAAATGTCTTTAAAATTTTTCTACTTTTCTCTCTCTCTCTCTCTCTCTCTCTCTTAAACATTATGGCATGTGTTTTAGATATGTCTTCCAAACATGTCAGTTATTCAGGAAGTTAATTTCTTATCTCAGATTTATGCTGAGTGTCTAAATATGTTTTTAAAAATTCTTATTTTTTAAACTTTAAAACAGTGCAAATATTAAGTCTTTTTTTTTTTAACAGTTTCATTTTCTTCCCTAAGTAATCTGGTGTTCTTTCACTGGTAGGAAAAATTGTATCCTTTTAGGAAAACTTAAATTATTAGATGTTGGTAGTTTATGGTAGACTTTTTGCCTATGTTTATAATGAACATTTGCAAAGTGAGATGTCGAAGGACTACATGAAATGTTCTTTCTTGTTGTCTTTGGACCGTTTAATGTATGATGAGAATAATTATAATACAGCTATATGCTTCTAGTAGTATGTAAATTTGTTGGTCACTGGCCAAAAATCTCAAGATTAGAGTACCAGCATTTAAATGGAGGTTTATGAAAATAGCTTCTATACTAACTTAAACTGCAGAAAATCAAAATGCAAAAAAGACTTTGCTTCTACTATCTCAGTAAGAGCCTTCAATTAAAGTCAGTGACTTCAATACGCTTGTGAACTAGTCTGCATGGTATAATGGAAGAAGGACTGGATTTGAAATTTGAAGACCTGTTGTTCTAAACCTAGTTTGCCATTTAATACTTAATAAATTGTAGGCTCCCTTGAGGACATAGACTTATCTTTTGCCTCTTTTTGTATCCTCAGTGCTTAGCAAAGTGCCTGGCACATAGTAGTCACTTAATAAATGTTTATTGATTATTGATTACTTGTGTGACCCTGAGTGTGTTATTTTAGAGGCAGTTGGGTAGTATACTGGATAGAGTGCTATACATGGAGTCAGGAAGACTTGAATTCAAATACAGCCTCAAATACTAAAAATGAGCATAATAACAGTGTTTACCTCCCAGGTTTGTTGTCAGAATCAAATGAGATAACATTTATGAAACATTTTAAATGTTTAAATTTTATTTAAGCACCTAGACACTATATATATATATAGTGCATATATAGTGCATATATATATATATATGCATGCTTATTCCTTTCTCTTTAAGAGTGAATATGGTGCAGGATAAGGAAACAAAGACCACGGGCTTGCTTTTTTAGGTTAACTCAGAAACCTAATGTCTCTGTATTGTGAATACTTTATTGAAAGTTATTCTGAAGTACTAGAAAAGGGGAACACTGAACACTCAAAAAATATGAAATTCATTTATATTAATGATAAAGAACCTGGTTACCACATAGGATTTTTTTCTGAATGAATTGTTTATATGCACTCAGACAATAAATTTGTTGATTTTTGACCCTTATGCCAACACCAGATTAAGAGAAATATAAAGATGAGATTATACAATGTGACATAGATCCCACCTGACTTATTCAAACAAATTATTAATCTTCAAAAATGGGAAATGGAAAAAGAAACAAACATTAAATTGGACTATTGTGATTTCCTATGGAAGTTTTATCGATATAAAATATAAATACAATGAGAAGGCAAAAGGGCCAAACAGTTGCCTCCAATCTGTCACCATTTCTAAACCATACTATCTTCATTGATCACCAAAGTGCCTAATGTTTCGGTCTCTAATCCTTGTATATGAAGAAGTAAAAATGGGACTAAAATGAAGATATCAATTGCAGACCAAGAATACATGGGAAAAAATCTGACCCTTGCAAGTGACACAATTGTGAGTGCATTGAGGTTTTAATTCTCAAAATAATTCAGAGTGGTAAAGATACTTCACAATTGCAAAGAATCCTAGACAGTATTAGTACTGAAAAAAGGCTATCAAGAGAATATTATGTGAACAGAGCACAGGCCCAGGAGTCAGGAAGACCTGAGTTCAAATGTGACCTCAGACACTTGACATTTACTAGCTGTGTGACCCTGGGCAAGTCACTTAACCCCATTGCCTAGCCCCCCCCCCAAAAAGAAAATAATATTATTGACCCAAATATCAATAATATTTGTCTTTATAAAAATCTATGCTAATAATCTATATTCGCATCAAGAGTAGTGAAGATATGAGAAGGCAACAGGCAAGCTTTAATAAATAATGTTTTGAAGAGTAACACGTGATCACAGTCCCAAAGTTTGTGGAAGGTGTAGAGAATACAAGGTTCCACTGTTTTATTGCTTATACAGAAACTTTTGATTCAGTAGAGTGCTCCTCTAACAAAATGTTCACCAGTCTTCAGATAACATCATGGAAGGTGAAAACCAGGGAAATCTGTGTGCAACTGTCATGGAATATATTAGTGCAGTGGCCAAAAAGGGGTAATCCTTATAACTTGATGGTGAGGGCCATCAGATCTTTCTGTTTAAGGATGTGCTAATTGTGAGCACTGTCGTTAAGTCATATGCCTACTCTTTTGTTAGATCCCACAGTCCACATAGTAGATACCTTATTAATGAAAAATGTCATTTGTCCTTTTGGATGGACATCCATTGAATTAGTCCATCAGTACATGTATTTTGAATAGAAACAGTTACTGGACAATGACCTGACCAGGGCCCAGAGTTGAAAAAGAAGAGAGTAGGCTAGATTGCCTTTGAGAAATTAGGCAGCGTGTTTAAAAGTCCCTTGAAACTAAAACCCCATCTCTTTTCTCTTCGTGATGGTATATAAATAAATTATGAAATCGTGATTCACTCACTCTTTCTAAAGAATCAACTTTGTAGGAGACCCCAGAGGCAATGGAATAATGTATGGTAGTCTTTAATAGGTTGTAAACTCTTAAGACCTGTGTGCTAAAATGTAAAAGATAACCATCCAGAAAATGTATCATTATGAAAAGCTCTAGAGGGGAAAAAGATTATTGACTTGAACATATTTGAAAGCAGGGTAGGGAAAGAATAGATAGGAAGAAATCAAATATTTTGGGGGGCAAGGAGAGTACAGTCTTCTAGAGAGAAGGCATGAAGGGATGGGATCAAGTGTAAATATACAGGAGTTATCCTTAGCAAGGGAAGGGATCAAGACTGAGGGAGAAGAGGAATGAGTGGAAGAAAATAGTGTCAGGGGGTTTGTTGTGAAGAGAATCGGAAAAGTAAACTCAATTTGAATGGCCTCAATTTTCTCATAAAGAATCAGGGGAGCTCCTCAGCTTGGTAATAATGGAAGGTGTAAGAGGCCTGAAGAGATAAAGAGAAGTTTTAGAGTAGCTCCTGTGAGGAATGAGATGTAATCACAGAGTGGAATCAACAGACTGCTTTGCTGCAATGAGAGCCCAGTGGAAGTTAGATAGTATGAATTGGTTACTCAGGTTGTGAGACTTCCTTGTTTGTGTTTATCAGCATGTGAGGAGGAGCAGATGGAAAGAGTAATCCAGGGTTGACCTTTTTTAAGAGGTGAATGAAATAGAACAAGGGGTGAGGATTAAAGAGCATAAAACAGTAGATTGAAATGGTTAACTATTGGCTTGAGATTGAAGAGAGAAGGAAGGGAAGCTTCTAAAATTACTTGTTTGGATGAGTTTGGAAGAGATGGAATGTTAGGAAGCTGTGATCAGATAAGGTCACAGTTTCTGAGTAGGGAAGTGGAACACTTTTGGGTAATGATGAGATCTAACGTGTGGCCAAGTGGAATGAGGGATCTTGAGGTTTAAAAAGGCTGAGGAATTGGGAACTTAGGGAGTTTGAGGAAGCATCTTTGTGAATGTTAAAGTCCCCTAGTATGAGGTAAGAGTTTGGGAGAAGACAATGATGAAGCAGTTACTATACTCCTTGAGAAAGGAGGGAGACTGGCTTGAAGTTTGGTGTATTGCGGCCAACATAATTTGTATTTTGGGTAGAAAATTTTGATTGAGTAGATGGACTTAAAAGGAGGAAGGTTGCTAAGTGAAGGAATAATGGGGGAGTCTGGAAGTGAGAGTTTTCCACCTCCTTCTCCAGGACAGTTGCATTATAGGATGTGAGAGAAGGTCCTGCCATTGCTGGAAAGAATAGCCAAGGATGCAGTGTCATTACAGGAGGGGGTTCAGTATCAATGGAGAACTAAGAGGTGGAAGTAATGAGAGGAAGACATCTAGTTTGAAGAAGAGTTTGTGTACTATGAAATGAGAATTTTAAATGACCAACAGTGGAGGGAATGCCCTGGGTAAGAATAGAGCATGAGTAGGATGGAATTGGGGTTAATGGTGAGTTGCTCAGGATACTTTTCTCCTAAATAACTGGTTATTGGTTAGTGTAGGAATTGGGAGAGAAACAAGAGAAATCTCAGGAGTAACGGTGGGTGGCAGAGAGCACTAGTTGGTCAGCCAGTCCTGGATTTACATTCAGCAACCTGTATGTAGCTTCTCTGGTGGCAGAGAGAACAAATTCATTGAAATATCAAAGAAATTCAAGTCGTATTTCTTTGACTTCATTGTAAAGTTTTAATTCTAATCCTAAATAATGTATTATTAAAAGTAGAATTAGATTGAAATCCTTGTGGGTTTTATGTTTCTTACACCTTTCGTTCTGAAGACACACACATCTGCCTTGGTATTGAAAACTTTAGCAGTGCCTTGGTTAGTTATGAGAATTTCTTTTTGAGAAAAGAAGTAGCAGTGATTTGGACTGAGCCTTGAGTGCTTGCCCTTGACTCCTTATTATGTTCATAAACTAGTTATCCTGTTTACTCCTTTCCTACCAACCCCTTACGTCATAAGAATCATAGGATCATAGATCTAGGCCTGGAAGGGATCACCTTAAGTCGTCTAGTCCATACCCTTCATTTTAGAGAAGATGAAACTGAGGCCCAGGTAAGTTAAATGACTATCCAAAGGTCACACAGGTAGTAAGCATCAGAACTAGAATTTGAGCATAGGTCCTTTGACTTCTGAGCTAATGTTACTTCCACCATACTACACTGCCTCTTTTTTCTATTTGACAGCAGGACTGTCTTAGGTTAGACTAGTGATATCAAAGTCACATAGAAATAATGGTCACTAATTATTACATTAAGATCCCTGCAGGCCTTTTATTGACTTTCATTTAAAATGTGATGCTAACTGTGCTTTATTATATTTTTATTTTAATATTTGCCAGTTACTTTTAATCTGGTTCCAGTGGCAATGCAAACTGCATGTTTGTCTTAGAGACTTAGAGGTAGACTTAGAGACTACCTTTATATTTCCTCAAACTCTTAACCATTCAGACTATCTCAATATAGAAATTATGAGGAAATTTGGTGTGTGGAATAGCTTAAAAAAATTAAGGCATCCAAATGAGTAAATTATATGCTGATAGAAAAGGAATAATACAACAAGATACCTTACCACCTGTAGTTAAGGGTATAGTGACATTCATATAACATAAAAGGGTAGATCCCTCTATTCCTTGGGATTTCTGAATTACATATTTAATTGTATAAATGTATTTATTTTTAGCATTATCAATATGTTTTCATTTGTACTTGGATGGTTTCTAAGGATTTGCTCTTAAAAAATAGCAACCCAACGCACTATTTTTTTGTGCTTACTTAGATGTGGGCGTTGTCTCCAACGGTTTTTGCACTACTGAGTAAGAACCTAATGATTGTGCATGGTGACCTAGCTGTCCATTTCCCTGCTATTCAGTATGCAGTTCTTTACACCTTGTATTCACATTGTACCAGGTAAGACTGTTGTTTTGAAAACAGATTTACCAGATTTTTAAAAATTGATGCTGATTTGGTATGGGTATTACTAACTTAATAAATTTTTTTTAAGTAATTCAAACTTTTGTATGTTTTCCAGGCATGATCACTTTATATCTAGTAGTCTTAGCTCTTCATCACCATCATTATTTGATGGAGCAGTAATTAGTACTGTAACAACAGCCACAAAGAAGCATTTCTCAATCATACTAAACCTCTTGGGAATATTACTAAAGAAAGATAACCTTAATCAGGATACCAGGTAACTTGGCAAAATTTAACATCATGACTTTGTTCCTAAATTTATTCTTTGACTATCATCTTAGAATAAGAACAGTTTTAAACATTGTAGTCACTCAAATTTTTCAAATATTGGGCATATTGAGGCTAGCTGACATAGTGGATAGAGTACTAGACCTGGAGCCAGGAAGAACTAAATTCACATCCAGTCTCAGAAACTTAACTAGTTGTGTGACTGTAGGCATTAACCTTTGATTGCCTCAGTTTCCTCAACTGTAAAGGAGGAAGAGGTTGTTAATAATAGCACCTAAATTACAGAGTTGTTATAAGGATTCAAATGAGATAATATTGGTAAAGCTCTTAGCACAGTGGCTAGCACATAATAGGCAGTATATAAATGCTTATTCCCTTCCCTTTGGTTTTTTTTGGGGGGGTGGGAGGTGAGGCAGTTGGGTTAAGTGACTTGTTCAGGGTCACACAGCTAGTAAGTGTTATGTGTCTGAGGCCGGATTTGAACTCAGGTCCTCCTGACTCAGGGGCCAGTGCTCTATCCACTGCGCCACATAGCTGTCCCATCCCCTCCTTCCCTTATTTTGAAGCATTTATTATTATTTATTCCTTTCAAAAGAATTGTGTGAAAAGTCTAATTCAAGAACATATGTACATGGAGACTTTAGTTATCTTTGGTTAGAATCCAACCCTAATTTTTTAAGGCTTTGTGAGAAATTTTTAGCCATTAAGGCAAAATGATTTCTTTTATTAACAAACATCATTTTACAAGTAGTTGAAATATTTGAAAGTCACTTTTTTAGAAGTAAATCTAATGTAGAAATAATTGTGTGGGCATTTATTTTTACATTTGCTATGTATAAATTTGTTTTAGGAAACTGCTAATGACTTGGGCTTTGGAAGTTGCTGTTCTAATGAAAAAGTCTGAAACATATGCACCTTTATTCTCTCTTCCGTCTTTCCATAAGTTTTGCAAAGGACTTCTAGCAAACAGTAAGATTTTTACTTCTACTCAAACTTTACAGAATTGAGCATCTTTCATAACAAATTAGCAAAGATAGCTGAACACATCTGTATTTTTATCTTTTATTCTCTTATCACTTGAAAATTCTTGCACTTAAATATTTTTAAATTATATTTAAATTTTGTTTATTCATGGTATTCAGGTTCCTTAGGTTTTTTCATCAAAATATTTTTGTAAATAATCTCTTGAGAAGCATTTAAGTTGGTTTTGCTAAATATGTTTGTCTTTTAAAAGTCTGTTTTCCATTGAAGCAGTAGTGTTCTGAATTATATTGGATTGGTCTTTGACCCCAAGAATCTAGAAAATGCGATTTAAAACAATCTAGAAATTGTCTTAAAAGTATCCTTTTTTATGTTATTGTAGCCCTTCTTGAAGATGTGAATATCTGTCTTCAAGCGTGTAGTAGCCTACATGCCCTATCATCTTCCTTGCCTGATGACCTTTTACAAAGGTATACATATTAAAAATTACTTATCTTTGCTCCCTTATTCCCGCCCCTCCAAAACAAAGCCCTTCATCTGTGCACAAGTGATAATTTCCTGTTTCCTTTTTAAAAATGTAGGTGTGTTGATGTATGTCGTGTCCAGCTAGTCCATAGTGGAACTCGTATTCGACAAGCCTTTGGAAAGCTGTTGAAATCTATTCCTTTGGATGTTGTCCTGAGGTAAAAAGATTTTGAAATAAATGTAAGAGAGTGGTTTTTGAGGCAACAAAACAAACTCTATTAAAAATTCCCACTATAATTTTATTTCAGAGTCTTAGAATTTTATAGAAAAGGGGAAAATCCTGTGAATATAGTTCTGTTATAAGTTTTGAGCATTTTGCTTAGTCTGCTCAGTGATGAAAAAGACAATTGATCTAGTTAGAAAAATTGAGATTTTAGATTTTATGAACTCCTAAATAGTTCTCCAAATAGAGGTTTCATATAGCATCTGTTAAATGTAAGATTAATTTTAGAACCTATTTAGAATTTTTTATCTTATATCTCAGATCTATTTTTTAAGTTTTATATTTTTCAAGCAGTTTCCATTTACTCTTTGCAACTTAGAAATAAATTATGATTTTAATTGACTGTTATTTAATATAGCACATTTTTTTTCTCCTACAGCAATAGCAACCACACAGAAATACAAGAAATTTCTTTAGCTATAAGAAGTCATATGAGCAAAGCCCCAAGTAATACGTTCCATCCACAAGATTTCTCTGATGTCATTAGCTTTATTTTGTATGGGAATTCTCATAGAACTGGGTAAGAAATTTTATTTACTGACAATCCTGGGAAAAGGACTACAAACTATGCAGAAATATTTTTACCCCAGTCTCAGTTGTGAAGAATAACTACATAGTAGGGGAATTACATTCTTTTCTGCTTGCAGTAATCAGCAGCAACCAGAAGAGCTATTCAGATTTAGCATAAAGAACTAAGAATGCATTTATCTAAAAACAGTGCTAGAAGGGTGTTACTTCCTAGAAAAGTGCTTAACTGTTCTGACTCTAGTGTTTTAGAAGTTCTGTTCTGGTGAGGTAAGAATGGTAGAAGATAGGAGTCATTTACCCTAATAATTTAAGCATCCAGTAAAATGAAAGTTCTTGAGGGTAGGGACTGTTCTAATTATATCCCTAGTTCTTTGCACCGAGGCTGGTGAATAGTAGGTGTTAAATGTGTGTTGAATTAAACATAAAAACTCTATTTTTCAGGAAGGACAATTGGTTAGAGAGATTGTTCTACAGTTGCCAGAGGTTAGATAAGCGTGACCAATCAACTATTCCACGAAACCTTCTAAAGACAGATGCTGTTCTTTGGCAGTGGGCTATTTGGGAAGCAGCCCAGTTCACTGTTCTTTCTAAGTTAAGAACTCCCCTAGGCAGAGCACAAGATACATTCCAGACAATTGAAGGTGATTTTTAAAGTTTATGAATTTTTTAAATATAATTTTATTATACTATTGCTTTTTTTCCCTTGTTACAAAATTATTGATGTAGATAATGAAATAAAGATAAATTTAATACTTTGTTATTAAAGTGTAGATATAGTTGTAATCAATTTACCAGACAACTTAAAAGAAATTGTATCATGTGCTTTAATAGATTAAATGTCAGACTGAAACAATGAGAAGTTATTCTAAGAATATTTGTTTAAATGTTTAATTTTTTAACGAAGAATTCATTATAATGTTGTATGTGTAGTATTCACTACTCACTTGATGTCAGTATTTTTGGATTTCTGTGACATTTGATTTTATAATCAAAATTAAATTTATTCATTTGGAATATTGTCACATGTTTATAGGAATCATTAGAAGTCTTGCAGCCCACACTTTAAACCCTGATCAAGATGTTAGCCAATGGACAACTGCAGATAATGATGAAGGACATAGCAGCAACCAACTTAGACTTGTTCTTCTTCTGCAATATTTAGAAAATCTGGAAAAACTAATGTATAATGCATATGAAGGATGTGCTAATGCGCTGACTTCACCTCCTAAGGTTAGTGTCTGAGATTATTGATATATGGCAGCATGTAGTTAGATTGCTTAACAACCTTTATATGAAATAAAAGATATTTCAGTTGGACCATATGAGTTTTAAATAAACTTTTAATTTTAATAAATTTAAGCCTTTCACCTTTTATTCTGAAGGTCATTAGAACGTTCTTCTATACAAATCGCCAAACTTGCCAAGACTGGCTAACTCGGATTAGACTTTCCATCATGAGAGTTGGACTGTTGGCAGGTCAACCTGCTGTGACTGTAAGACATGGCTTTGATTTGCTTACTGAAATGAAGACCAATAATATATCTCAGGTAAAGACTTTCCATAAGTATTTAGCTCTTATTTTGAATACCAAGGTCTAGCTCTTTGATACATGTGATTTGTTTTACTAGTGAAATATGAAAAACTTTAAAAGTATTGCTTCAGCATTCGTCTCATGAATATTTAATCTTATTTTTTAAGAAAAAGATTTCTCAGAGATGTTTACAAAGTTTTTTTTTAATTAAACAAGGTACTTTAAATGTCCTCTTAATTATGTATTGTTTTTAAGTTTATCAAAAGCTTATTCAAAATCCACATTACTTCTAAGACTTCTAAGAGTTCAATATAAAATAATCTTAACATTCTCGAGAATCCATAATATTTATTTCTTTTGTAAGATAAATTTTTATTGACATCTTTTGTTTTTTACATCACCATAGTTTCTCCCAGTATCCTTTCCCCCTCCCAGAGGGCCATCCCATATGGCAAAAAATATTTTTAAAAAAATGAAAAGGGGGAAGAAGAGAAAAAATTCAGCAAACTCAATCAATTTATAATTGAAAAAAGTCTGAAAATATATACAATGTACCACACCTGTGGACCTCCTACTTCTGCAAAGGAGTGGAGTGGGGGTGTCTACTTAAATCTCCTCCTTGGGGCCATGCTTGTTCTTTTTAATTTCACAACAGTTATGTTTATTTTATAGAGTTCTTAGATCCTAAATAGCTTCGCATGGTATATGTATTAAACTTTTCTATCCCATATCTCATCAGCCTTTTTAATAATTTCTAAAAATTGCCTTAAAATTAAATTTAACCAACTTTTAAAAATATAGAATCTTCCTAATAGTTATGCATATTTTATATAACTTTGAAATCTTAACAAAATTTCTTAATGTATTATGTATCTTCATGAATATTGAATTATTTTGAAATAGATATTCCATTTTAAGTAAACATTAAAATATTATAGTAGTATAAACTTTAATTCTTATGAATATTGTTTCTAGGGAAATGAATTGGAAATAACAATTATGATGGTGGTAGAAGCACTGTGTGAACTCCATTGCCCTGAAGCTATACAAGGACTAGCTGTGTGGTCAACTTCAATTGTTGGAAAGAATCTTGTCTGGATCAATTCGGTGGCACAACAGGCAGAAGGAAGGTAAGAGACAGAGAGAGGGAGAGAGAGAAATGAATGATTTGGTTAACTTGCATTTAAACTTTATGATCTAGCAAAAAGCAACCTATTTTCAGTCTGGCAAACTGAAATAGTGCCACATTATACTTTTACACAAATAGTATATGTGGCTTCTAGGGTATGATTTTTGGGCTGTTCTCCATGAATATGAGAAAAACAGAGGAAAGAAAACTATTTGTGGTGAACTGGATGAATTTTTCCGTACTAGTTGCCAAAGTTAGCAGGGTCTTAAGTTTTGACATCAGGGTTCTTCTCTAGCAAAATGTTCTCCAGCTCTCATTTCCTTCTCTGAGTATATAGCGTTGCTTAGACCTTATGGATCACTATTGTTTTATAGTACTGCTCTGCATGTCTGACAGAGTAACTGGAGCTTGGGTGCCTCCTAATGCCATAGAAGACAGATTGTCTCCAGTCTCCTCTCTTTTTAATCCATCCTCCATAGTCACTGAAGTGATTTTCCTAAGCTTTGTTACAGATATGTCTCCTCCAGAAATCTGTTACCTATGGGATCAAATAGAAAATGCCCTGCATGACTTTTGAAGCCATTTATAGCTTGACACCATTCTACTTTTACTGGTGCCCTCTGCTATCCTTCACTTCCTCTATGGTAAATCTGTTGATCAGGAAGTGCCTTCTGTGTGTTAGGAAGTAGGGATACACATCCCATGATGAAAGAATCCCAACTCAGCACAGATGCTTTGATGGGGAGACAAGTCCATATCTAAGAATACACAAGGTAAATACAAGGCAATGTGGAATGAGAGCACTAGCAGTTGAAAAAATCAGGAGAGGCTTTGGAGAGAAATCTAGGGCTATGGTGAGGAGGAAGTTATTGCTGCTTTGGGGAACTGCCAGCACAAAAGTGTAGAGGCTGGAGGGTATGATGCATGTGATAAACAGGAGAAGGCTGATTGGATTGGATCCCACAGTGTGCCCGAGGAAGAATGGCCAGTCAGCCTGGAAAAATAGGTTGTAAAAGCTGTTTTATCCTGGTGGCAAGAGGTAGCTGCCTGAGTTTATTGAGTAGGAGAATAGTGATATGGTCAGATTAAAGCTTAAGGAAAATCACCTTGATTCAGCCAAACTGGCCTTGCTATCCTTTACTCAAAACAATTCATGTGCTGTCTCTCCTTTCTGTGCCTTTTGCCAGACTGTCTCTCTTGCCTGGAATGCTCTTCCTCTTAGGATACCTAGTTTATTCCAAAGCTCAGCTCAAGTGCTGCATTCTACATGATATCTTTCTTGGCCCTGCAATCTCTAGTGTGACGACTTTGTATAGATTTTGGAAGAGTCAGTGCAGTAGAGTGCCTAACAAGCTGATCTTGGAGTGAGAAAGACCATGGGCAAGTCACTTAACTTCTTAGTGTCCCAGACACCTTTGTAAGATGAAAGTTTTAAAAAGGTGGTGATCTTCATTGGGAGCCCCCTAAGCTAATGAAATCATTGGTCTAGTAAAAACACAGACACACACAAATGTGTACATGCTGTTTCTTCCTAATTGAATGTAAGCTGCTTTTGAGAAGGGGAGCAGGATATCTACAAAGCATAACACAGTACTTGGGAATTAGTCAGAGTTTACTAAATTCTTGTTCAGTCACATCCTACTCTTTGTGACCCCATTTGGGGTTTTCTTGTCAGAGAAGCTTGAGTGGTTTGCCATTTCATTCTCCATCTTATTTTACACATGTGGAAACTGAGGCAGATAGGGTGAAGTGACTTTCCCAGGGTCACACAGCTAGGAAGTGTCTGAGGCTGAATTTCAACTCAGAAAGATGAGTCTTCCTGATTTTCAGTCCAGTACTCTGTCCACTGCACAACATAGCTGCCCACAAATGCCTGTTTATAGCTAGAACTAAAAAAAAAAAATCCTACTTAGATTCCTCATAGATTTAAAACTGGAAAGGATTTTTAAAAGCCATCAAGTCCAGTCCCCTCATTTTACAGATGTACAGATGAGGAAACCGTCCAAGAGAGGGTATGGGATTTTCCCAGGGGTCACCCAGCTATCTCACCAGTGCCTAAGGCAGAATTTGTGCTCTAGTATTCCTAGTCCACCCGCCTGTCGTCCACCCCTAGTTCAGCATACTGTCCACTGTGCCCACCAGCTGTGCAAAGATTCTGGGATTCTAGAAGGCTCTGCCAATGGATCGAGCCTTATGAGAAGGGTTCAGGTGTGAACACACCTTCTGTTAACATGACTGTCCCAGATTTAAGGAGATTTCTTACATAGCTTGTCCGGGCGATTCTTTGGTTATAAAGAGCTCAAAAGACATCTCTAAAACAGTAGTCATAGAAATTATCCTCTTTCCTATAGTTAAGAAGTAAGACATTTGTAACAGTATAGTAATACCTTGCACTTCAGTTATACTCCAGAACTGATCCAGAATATTTCACCCATTACCTCCTGCTGTGAAGTGGACATGTTTTCAGACTTTATTGATAAAACCTTTTTGCAGAAAAGGATTGGGCTTTTCCTTAGGTTAGTTGTACATTTTATATATAAAAGTATCATGAGAGTGTCTTAAGTTTTCAAATGGTCTTTTCACTTACCATATGTGAAGGTGAAACTATTGACCTACCATCTATGAATACAGCATGAGTTTTGCCTAGTAGTAGGAATTGATTTATGCCTATTTTTGTTCCCCTTGTGAATAATGATATACATCAGCAATGTCAGACTCACAGATGAAAAACAAAGCAGCCCAAACCAGATTAAAATGTAAGTGGGAAATACTTAACTGTTTAAGAAATAGGTAAAAAAATGTGTTCATGTGTGATTTTTCTAAGTCAATGGTCCTCCCACCAAGATCTCCTTCTATTTGATTTTGACACCACTGATGTACATTTTCAACATGTTTGTGTCGTACTAGAAAGCGCATACGCAGAGCAAAATTAACTTCACTCACATAGAGAGTAAACATCAGACCTTGATTTACAAACATCATTGTACAAAAAGCTTAGCTTGAATAAATTGGCCATGGGCCTCAGTTTCCTCATCTGTACAGTGAAGGGGCTGAACTAAATGGCCTCTGAAGTCCATTCTAGTTCTCGGGTAGTATTTTATGACCATAAATTTGTTTAATTCCAAAAGCATTAAGTGCCTCATGGGCAAGCTACTGGGAAGATAATATAAATAGTTTATAGATACTCTTCATTGGAATACTGATACTGCATAAAACTGTTTAAATTTGTATTTAAGGTTTGAAAAGGCAACCATTGAATACCAGGAGCATTTGTGTGCTATGACAGGTGTAGATTGCAGCATAACTGGATTTGATAAATCTGTCTTGAAGTTGGCCAACTCAAATAGTAATAATGCCAGTCCAAAGCATTCTCTGAATGGTGAGTTACATCAATTTATTGTATTTATAAGATTAAATTTGGCATTGAACATTTATTTTATTCTATGGCTGTTGAACAGATAGATAAATTTGAATTTCAAATTATTTTATTAATGTTGTGAAATATTTACTCTGAAATATTTAGATTTATCCTGAGCTTAACTTTTTTTTAAAAATTTTGTAATTTATAGGTGAAGCTAGAAAAACTGTCCTGGCTAAACCAAGTGATTCTTCCCCTGAGGTTATAAATTACTTGGGTAATAAAGCCTGTGAGTGCTATATCTCAATTGCTGATTGGGCTGCTGTGCAGGAATGGCAGAATGCTGTTCATGACTTGAAAAAAAGCACAAGTAGTACTTCCCTCAACTTAAAAGCTGACTTCAACTATATAAAGTAAGATTTTTTTTTTCTAAAATTAATCGTGAAGTTTAGCACAGTACTTAAAGTATGTGATAATGACCTGATTTTATGTTTTAAAATAACGCGTCTTTGTAAGTAATGCTGTTTTCAACAATCTTAACAAATTCCTTTGAACAAAGTATTCAAAAATACGATTGTTTTTATTTCTGGTTTTAATTGAATACTTTTTGTTGAAGGAGGGAGGGAAGGCAGTTGCTGATTTTCTTTTTTCCTTTTCCAGAATATTGATAGCATTTACTTCATGGTTATACTTTTTATGTTGACTTTGTAAACTCCCAAAGAGGGTTGCAGCTTTTTAAAGAAAGCGACTATCAGGCGTAAAGAAGTATGTTAGGTGAGACAGACATATAGATGGGGAGACAGAAGCAAAGAGGAGAGCGGAGAGCAAGGCAACAAAACAGTAACCATATTAATCTATACTAATTATCAGTAGTATTCAGTTTGGAAATTATAGCCATAAAAGCAGTATTAGGACATTAAAATAAAGAGATAAATATAGAGTATAAATTTCATTTTTATTAGTAAATTTACAGACTGTTTTGTGACTAATAAACAGCTTTTTGCTCACTTTTGAAAACTTTGCAATATTTGTTTATGAGACTGTAGGTGCCGTTTCCTTACTAAAGAAGTAAGTCCATGGCAATCTGGGATTTAAAAACAGTTCCTTTTCTGGGAATTGTTATTTGTCCATAAGTCACTCAGTTTGATGTACCAAAGGAATGTGCATGAAGGATGATGGGCTATTGTAATTATCTACAAATATAATCTACTTTTTAAATCCTTTCTTTTGATTGTAATACGGTGTAGTCATATTCATCAACATGTCTCCTCCAGCAAATTGTGGATAAGGTTTGAAAATAGCTAATAATTTAATTACAGGTCACTAAGCAGCTTTGAGTCTGGAGAATTTATTGAATGTACAGAACAGTTAGAATTGTTACCAGGAGAAAACATTAACCTGCTTACTGGAGGATCAAAAGAAAAAATAGGTATGTAGGTAAAATTATTTTTATAGACTTCATATCTGTAAATGTATTATTTGAGTGATCATATGTTAACAAATCCAGAAATTAGGACATAACTGGGTGTGTCCAAATATTTGATTCAGTACCAGTTTTTTAACAAATTTAAATAATTACTGTATGTAAATTTGATTTAGTCAAATGTAGAGACACTTTTAAAAATAGATGTCATCATATAAATTTACATAAAATAGTACTGTTTACTTTTGTAAAATGTCTGACTTTTTAAAAATATATTTTTATTGACATTTATATCACCTACATTTCCCGGTATATCTCTTTCCCATCCCCTTATAAGAAAGAATAAATAAGTGGCTGGATAAAAATAGTTCTGTAAAACTAACCAACATTTCAAAAAAGTCTGACATCATCTGTAGTGCTCCACACCCATAACCTCCCCATCTTCCAAAGAAGGGAAAGAGATATAATTTCTCATATCTCTTCTTTTAAGGCCAGGTTTGGTCATGTTAATTTCACAGCATTCAGTTTCAGTTGTTGTTCTTTTCATTGTGTGTGTTGCTGTATATTGTTTCCCTAGTTCTGCTTACTTCACTTGGTATTAGCTTATATAAGTCTTCCTATGCTTCTCTGTATCCATAATCATCATTTCTTATAGTTCAGTAATACTTCATTACATTCATGTACCACAACTTGTTTAGCTTTTCCCCAATTGATAGGAATCTCCTTTGTTTCCAGTTCTTTGCTACTACAAAAAGCGCGACTATAAATATTTTGGTATGTATGGGGCTTTTCTCTTTAACATTTACCTCCTTTAAAAAAAATTAAAAAACGAAACAAAACAAAACATTTACCTCCTTAAGGTATATACCTAACAGTGGAATTTTTGAGTATAGACAGTTTAGTCACTTCCTTCACATGATTCCAAATTTCTTTCTATAATGTTTGTACCAATTCACAATTCACCAGCAATGCATCAGTCTTTTTACAGCTCCTCCAGCATGATTATTCCCGTGTTATCTTTGCCATTTCCCTAAATGTGAGGTGAAATCTCAGAGTTTTTGTATTTAATGCAGATTTATGTTTCTCTTGTTATGAGTCATTTGAAACATTCTTTCATATTTTTATAGTTATATTTCTTTTTTTGATATGATTAAAAAAACTATCTAAAACCAAAAGTTAATATTATATATAAAAGGCAGTATTAGAAGTTTTCCTAATAAATGAAAAGGTAAAGCAAAAATTCCTCCTTTTCCATATTACATCATGATGATGATGATGATCATAGCAGCTAGAGAGCAAACATAGATTAAATCTCTTGCCCAGGATTACACTGCTAGTAAATGTGTGAAACAGGTTTTGAATTAAGTTCTTCTGGACTCTGAGCCTGGCACTCTTTCTTCTACACCCCTGGCTGCTCCTAGTTGACATAGTTATAGAAATGCTAGCAGTAGCAGTAGGAAAGAGTCTAATGGATTTACTTCAAAAATCCTGTGGAATCTACATAGATTCTAATTGAAACTAGCTAGGTGGCTCAGTGGATGAAACATTGAGTCTGGATCCAGGAATACTTTTTCCCAAATCTTGGATAAAATAAAAACTCAATGCCTTTTGCAGCTTGGTAACACAAAAATCAGGTAGGTTGGAGCAGTGGCCAGAGTGCTGGACCTGGAATAAGGAAGAACTGAGTTCAAATGTGGCCTCACATATTAATAATTGTGTGACCCTGAACAAGCCACTTAAGCTCTATCTGCCTCAGTTACCTCAACTATAAAATGAAGATAATAAATAATAGTATGTACCTCTTGGGGTTGTTATGAGGCTCAAATGAGATAATATTTGTAAGGCACTTAGCACAGTACCTGGCACATTGTAGGTACTTAATAAAATGCTTATGGCTTTCCTTCCTTGAAATAATAGCTATTAGCAGGTTACAAAATAAATAGCATTTCTTTATAGTAATAACAAAACCTAAAAGGAAATAATAGAAAGACACATCCCATTCATAGTACATGCTATATCTGGGACTCAGTCTACCAAAGCACACAAAGGACAACTTAATTAATTGAAGAGGTATCCAGAGCTTGTATCTGGGATGTAACAATAGAATAAAAATGGTAATGCTGCATAAATTAATTTTCAGATATAGTGCTATCCTAGTCACAATTCAGAGCTAGATAGATTAAAAAAAAATCTAGATTATCAAGGGAAACAGTTTTTAAAGAAAAAGATAAAGGGGAATTAGGATTTCTAGAATTCCTACTACATACTACTGTTAGGGTTCTTATTTTGTTTGATACAGTATAACTTAAAACAGTTATGTTATAATGTGTTTCACCTTCCTAAACACAGTAGGGAAGACCAAGACATCCCTATTTAAATAGTATTTGGGCACAAAGTCTAGATATGCCTCAGATAAAAGACTTTTTCACTTGTACATGTCTTTGACTTACAAAAAAAATTCAGTTGGTATTTTTAGGAAATATTCACAATATTGTAGTACAACTGATTTCTTAGATTTCAAGAATACATTTCAGTTGTTGGACTGAGAATTTTTATTTTCTAATAACAGTGAAGCAGCATTAATGATGTTTTTCTTAGATATAAAAGAAAAATGCACTTGTTAGTGATAAGATTGCTGTGGTGTTGGTATTTTTTGAACTTGTCTAAATCCAATGACATTTTATTAGAATATAAAAATGTGAAATACTGTTTTTTATGAGATGCATTTCATTTTTATAGATATGAAAAAACTACTTCCTAACATGTTAAGTCCAGATCCAAGGGAACTTCAGAAATCCATTGAAGTTCAGTTGTTGAGAAGTTCAGTTTGTCTGGCAACTGCTGTGAATCATATAGAACAGGAACAGAAGTGGCAATCTATAACTGAGTAAGTTTAAGAAACAATTTAGATTTGAGTTTATCATTTAGTTGGTAGTACTTGGTCGCTTCTAAAATGGGTTAAGAATATTCTAATTGTATAATTACATTGGCCTTGCTTTTGTCTGGGTATAATTCATGTAATCATAGGAATGCTAATGATCAGATGAATTGTGGTTTCAAAGGAGCAATAGGTTAAAATAATTTAAAAGCTCAAATTATGGTATGTCAGTGTCATTTCATAATTGAAAAATAAATTGTTCCCATCTTAATAAGATATTAGTGTCATACTTTTAAATAATTTAACTTTGAGTCACAGATTGAAAAGTTACAGTTAATTAATAATAAACTTTTTTTTTTCCAGAAATGTTGTAAAATATTTGAAGCAAACATCACGTATAGCTATTGGACCCCTGAGGCTCTCTACTCTTACTATTTCACAGTCTTTGCCAGTTTTAAGCACTCTGCAACTGTATTGTTCATCTGCTTTGGAGAATACTGTATCAAACAGGCTTTCAACAGAGGTATATTTCTGTGTGTATCAATCTGTGAAACTTTTATGAAGTAATATTCATGATTAGACTAGTTTTCTAATCAAGGTCTTATGAAGAAAATATAGCTATGCGCACCTTTTTATATCATCATTAGTGCCTGAATTTTTCACTTGATATCTTATGCTCGTTAACTCAGTATTTTTTGTATCTAGTTTCATTTTGGTTGAGAAATTATTGCTGTCAGTTATCTCTGTTGAGTTTGAGCTGGCTGTGCTCATGAATGGAGAGTGAGTTGAAGGAAATCAGCTTTTTTTAAAATTGCCTTTTTAAAAAGATTTTATATACAGTTGTTTTGTGTCTTTTATGATAGGTAAATGCTTATATTCTCTTAACTTTGACCAGAATTAATGAGTATGACAATGGGCTTTTAATTTAAAACAGTGATTTAAAAAAAAAAAAAAAAAAAGCATGTGCACATTGAAAACATTCAGGCTTGAGTTAACTGTATGAGAAGAGACTTAATGTAATAGTGAATGCACCAAAAGATAGGCTGAACCTCCTTGTATAATGAGAATTTACGTACTGACCTTATTAATAGATCCTTAGCATTCATTTGAGATCACTACCTGGGATATTTTTGTTTAGTCAGTTGTGTCATTTTCTGACCACTTGAGTTCGTTACCCCCAAATAATCAACTTCTAACAATTTTTTATGAAACTGTAGTTTATGTAATTTTTTTTTTTTTGCAGGACTGTTTAATCCCACTTTTTAGTGAAGCTTTGCGTTCATGTAAGCAGCATGATGTAAGACCATGGATGCATGCACTAAGATATACTGTGTATCAGAGTCAGTTACTTGAAAAAATTAAAGGTATGCATACTACTTTCAAAATAAATATTTAAATGAATACAAAATTAGTATTCATAGACTTTGTTAACTTCTTTGGAACAGCATAGTTTTTCACAGAACTGTTTATGAATAATACCTGTCTGTAGTGAAGAAAAATGCTTTTAAAGTTATTTTTGCCTTTAAGTAGTTATGAAAATCCCATTTCCAGAATTAAATGCCAGTGCTTCTTTATTGATATTGCAATATGAATGCAAATAAATAGACCCCAGAGGAAAAGGCAAAAAGAAACTAGAAAATTTTATCTATTCATTTACTGTCCCCTCCCAATCTTCTGTCTCATAGCCTATCTATGAATCAGATATTCAGCAGTTATCATATTGATCTGACTGCAAGTTGATTCCTAAAATGAAATTTCTTTCAAAGAAAAATAAATACATGACTATACATTAGAAAAGAATTGTGTCTAGTAATCATATATTGATTGTGCAAAACTTACTTTCATATTTCTTGAAATACCAATAAGTTTTATTGTTTTTTTTTTTTTCTTTCACACAACATATAAAGGAAGGAGTACTGGGTGCTGAGTCAAAAGACTTTAATCCCTCTAATACTTATTAGCTCTTTGCATGGGCAAGTTGTTATTTGGTTTTTTAGCTAAGAACTATTAAGCCACCTGTTAAAAAAGGGTGATACTTTTACACATATAACCAAATTATACTGAAATTCCATGCATTTCTAGGGTATGGTTTTAAAACATGACTACTCTATAAAAGTCAGGTTTTGTCTAAGTCATGCAGGAGAAGAGTAGTGAAGGAGTAGGAGAGGGAGTAGCGAAAATGTGGTCTGTGTTTGGGCCAATGTGATACCTTTCCATGTGAAAGTTTTCATTGGCAGAGCCTCAGGTGTTATAATAATGTAAGTGGATGCAATTTGATCCTGTTCCTGGCTGGATGTCATAATGTTTAAATTAACAAATGTTTATTTATTTTCCTCTTTCCAGAACAAACTGTTCCAATTAGAAGTCACCTTATGGAACTGGGTCTAACAGCAGCAAAATTTGCCAGAAAACGGGGAAATGTAGCACTGGCCACAAGATTGCTAGCACAATGTAGTGAAGTCCAATTGGGAAAAACTACTACTGCCCAAGATTTAGTCCAGTATTTTAAAAAATTGTCAACGCAAGGCCAGATCGATGAAAAATGGGGACCTGAGCTTGATATAGAAAAAACCAAACTGTTATATACAGCAGGTTAGTATAATGTTCATATTAATAGACTTAATGTTAAACTAAAAAAAAAAAATTGAGTTAAATGGTTAGCCAGATCTAGAGTTTGTAAGAGGCAGCATCATGTAGTGGATTGAGACCTGGACCAAGAAGTGGGGTCAAGCCCAACCTCTTCTACATACTGGCTTTTGTGACTGGCCAAGTTCTTTAACCTCTTCGTGCTCTAGGTCAGAACAGAAAACTCATGAGTAAAATATATTATTTATTTTACAATAAATATTTAACATAATAAATCAAAATAAAATACAACATGGACAATGTTAATTTGTGGTTTTCTAAGTCAATATGCTGCCCACAGGCATCCGTTTCTATCTGATTTTAGCACCACTGCTCCAGTCAGCCTTCTGAGACTGTAGGTTGTGTTCTTCCTAGAGTTCCCTGTATCAATAAAATAATAAGGTTAGCCCCTATCTCTGTGGAAATTGTATTCTGATGTTCCATTTAATGTAGTGGTAATTTATCTTATCTTAATTACATTCTTTAGTATTTCTAGTCTTCTTTACTGTATGGAATAGACATATTCCTCTGACCCATTATTTTTCACTGAGCATACATATTGTACTGTTTCTTTGTAACAAGGAAGTTATAAATTGTCTATTAAGAATATAGGTCATTGGAAACATGAAATGGGTATCCTATGTAAACACTAGAAATCAACCTTATATATTATTAGTAATTATACTGAAGTCTTATGCCCTCTTCAAAGATCCACCTCAAAGTTTTGACTTCTTAGCACTGTGCAATTCCTTTTTTTTCTTATTTACTTCATTTTACTAACATTGTATATTTATAGTTCTTAAATTTAACACATAATTTTGAGGAATGTAGATATGAAGTATTCTGAAGGTAGAAAACTTGCTTAAGATTGCTTCTAGCCATAATTAAAACTTTTGCCTGAAAAGAAACAATTTAGGGTTTTGTCTGTGTTTTTTAAAGATAAAATGTTTTCATTGGGATGTTTCATTTTAAGAAATCTTAAGAATTTAAAGGGTTAAGGCACGATTTTCCCTAATGGCACTTATTTTCTAAGAGAATCCTGCTTCATTGACTGTGTTAGGGAGCATGTTTTGTGGTTTGGTGGCAGTCTACCTTAGAATGTGGTGTTTTAGACCAAAAGTAGAATGACTTGTAGTATTTGAAAAACAAGGTGAAAAACTTGTTATTTTTCCCCTCTCTTCTTTTTGGCATCTGGTGATCATTACCATCCTGATATCTAGTGTTTTCACCCCAAAATAAATGTGGGTGTTTACTTTTAAAGGATTCTTTTAAATTGTAGTTTGTTGTCTTACTCAGGTCAGTCAACGCATGCGATGGAAATGTTGAGTTCTTGTGCCATAGCCTTTTGCAAGTCTGCCAAAGCAGAATATGCAGTAGCTAAATCAATTCTGACCCTGGCTAAATGGATCCAAGCAGAATGGAAAGAAATTTCAGGGCAGTTGAAACAGGTATACAGAGCCCAACAGCAACAGAATTTCACAGGTCTTTCTACTTTGTCTAAAAACATACATACTTTGATTTCACTGCCATCTGGCAATGCAATAGAAGAGGAATATCCCCGGATTGAGAGTGAATCTACAGGTATAATTCCTTTTTAATTTTTAAAGTTTTTATTTAAAAATAAGTTTAAATTTTAAAATGTTAACCACTGAACTGTTATGATTTCAGATTTTAAAGATTATTGTGACTAGTAACACTAGTAAATAAGTATTTTAATATTGTATGTAGTGATTTATATTATTTTGTGTTGCTAACAAATAGGCACTTTGTATTAAAATGCTTCTATGTAGAATTCATTCTGCTTTTGTTTTATAGAGCTTTACTGTATCCTACTTATCCAAAACCACATTGTTTTAACATATCTAGCAGCTATTTTATGTAAATGTTAACAGAAGCAACTTTTATGGGTATTTAACATTTGCTATTTTTTCTTAATCTTGACAGTAAATATTGGAGTTGGAGAACCTGACTTCATATTGGGACAGTTGTATCACCTCTCTTCAGTCCAGGCACCTGAAGTTGCCAAATCTTGGGCAGCACTGGCTAGTTGGGCATACAGATGGGGCAGAAAGGTGGTTGATAATGCTAGGTATGTACACTTCAAATATTTAATTGAGATGAAATTTATTGAAGAGGTTAAAGTGTATTATGAGATAAAGATTTAGTGTATCATTATTAAATTTGGGGTAGGTGGAATAATGAAGTATTAATTTTTACAGTCAAGGGGAAGGTGTCCGTCTTCTACCCAGAGAGAAGTCTGAGGTGCAGAGTCTACTTCCAGATAACATAGCTGAAGAAGATAGAGAAAAAATATATGGTATTCTTGGTCAGGCTGTATGCCGGCCAGCTGGAATTCAGGCAAGTAAAAAAAAAAGTTTTAGAGGTCACTTCTAATACAACTAGAGTGTTATTGTTGCTTCATTTCCTTTTAAGGAAATTTGTTGCAGACTGCTCTTAGTAAAACATTGTTTGGAGTTATATAGTTGTTATTTTGACTGAGAACTTTTGATTTTAAAATAGCAGGATAATGCTTGTTTTAAGAGGCTTCACACAGCAGCTGAGAAATCTAAAAGTGTTGTTGGCTCAAGGTCATATTCATTAAGATGGAATTAAATTGGTTTTGTGTGATCCTGGACAAGTCACTTAACCCTGTTTGCTTTAGTTTCCTCAACTGTAAAATGAGCTGGAGAAGGAAATGGCAAACCACTCATTATCTTTTCCAGGAAAACCCCAAATGGGGTCATGAAGACTTGGAAATGACTGAAAAACGACTGAACAACAAAGTTGGATTTAGAGTATAACATGTCCCTATTAAATTGCAATGGTGACAAAGTTAGTTTAACTTCTTTTGCATTAAGAGATTTGTTGAGGCCATTCAGTTCATGATAGTTTGGTAGAGGGAAAAGCACTTGAATTTGCAGAGTCAGAAGGCCAGGGTTCTAGTCTTGGTTCTGACCAACTAGTTATATGACTTATCTCTTTGTTTGTCAAGTTCCTTATTTGCAGAATGAGAAGGATTTTAGATTAGATGATCTTTAGGTTCCATTCTAACTATATGACAGTCTATAATTGGTTTAACTACTATATTATTTGTTTTGAATTATATTTCATGACACATTCTTTTGCCTAAAGAATATAGATACAGTTTTGGCATTAGTTTAGATTTCATGGTATCTAAAGTACTGTATAGTACTAAAGTACTGTAATGGTTTTGGAGTAAATCTGTGGTATTATTCACAGAGTCATTACTGCCTTAGCTTCGGTCATTTTTAATCTGATGAATCCATGGCATCTGGTTTTTCAGTTCTTGTGGGTGGTACGTTAGTGAGTCAGCAAGATTTTCTTGAATTTCCTTTATTCTTTGCTTGCGTGTATGTATTACCATGCCACTGGTTATTAGTGAGTATGTTTTTTGAAAAGCAGAATTTTTATCTTGGTCTGTAATGTTTTACTAAGGGTAGAATTATTTGTTACACATTACATTTATAATACTTTAAGTTCTACAAAGTGTTATAGTTGCAATTCTTAAAGATAGGATGTACAAACTGAATTTCCTCCATTTTATCAATTCTTATATAATTCCAGCATGTATAGTATTCATACTTAACATTCATTCAGAAAACATTTCTTAACCACCTACTGTTTGGTAGACACTTGAATCACTGGGATTCAAGCACAAAACAAAAAAAACTTGCATTCAAGGATTTTATGTTTTATTGGGGAGTCTGCAACAACAGTTATGGATAAGTAAATTCAAATTTGAGGCAAGAAAAGGCTCTAATAACCAGGGAGATCAGGTAAGGCTTCCCATAGGAAATGGCCAGGATCTTTTATTTCATTGAAATGGATGTTTTTTCCACTGGCAGAGATTGCAACCTTCTCTGTGTTTTAATAAATAATTTCAGTTACTGTGGCTGGAAAAATTTCACCAACTTCTGGCCAACTTTTGATTAAGATATGCGTCTCTCACACAGATACAAATGCATGTTATACAAGTACACACACTTGCACAGATACAAATGCACATTGAAGTTTATCAAGTGATTTCCATACAATAACAGTCCCATGGTGTAGCCACTTGATATCTAAGACAGTTGAGGCACAGAGAAATTATGTACCTTACCCGACTGTATGTAGCTCGAAAGTGTCAGCAAGAGGATTGGAAACTAAGTTTCCTGACTTAAAGCAATTTTGTGAATTATTTATATGTCTGCAGAAATATACATGTGTATTTTAAAGACATACACTTCAATTTTCACTTTTTGAGTTGAAAATAGTATTTTTTCCTAATTTTCATTCAGGATGAAGATATAACACTTCAGATAACTGAGAGTGAAGACAATGAAGAAGATGATATGGTTGATGTCATATGGCGCCAGTTATTGGCAAGCTGCTCATGGCTTTCAGATCTCGATGAAAATGCAACAGAGGGACTAATTAAAGTGTGGCGAAAAGTTGTAGATAGAATCTTTAACCTCTACAAACTGTCCTGTAGTGCATATTTTACTTTCCTTAAACTCAACGCCGGACAGGTATGAAATATAATAATGCCTTTTTGAAAAACCAATTTGTCAAAGTTGCTTTCCTAGTGTACGGGAATCATATTACAATTATCCCTTCCACATCACAACTTTTCCCGTAGCAGTTTTGATATATCTTGAATCAGCATAAACAAGTTAAATGAGAATTTTGGGGGAATTTTACGGAAGCCATAGACGACACACAAAGGCCAGCAGACAACACAGAAAAAGTTTAGAAATTAAGAAGTGCATATATCTATATCTATATCTATCTATCTATATATATATATCTATATATATATACATATAATGATATCAATATATTTTATCTTTTAATATCGTAATAATTCAGACTTCTCTGGTACTAATGGAGGGCGAAAAAGTTTTATGTGGATTTTCCAGATCACAGGTGGAAGGGGATAACTGTATAAGTTTTTTTTTTTTTTAAACTCACTCTCTCTCTCCCTGCCTCTTTTCCCCCTCCCATTTTGTTGATTTTTTTTAGATTCCTCTAGATGAAGATGATCCCAGATTGCATTTAAGTAATAGGTCTGAACAGAGTACTGATGATGTTATTGTAATGGCAACATTAAGGTTATTGAGATTGCTTGTTAAACATGCTGGAGAACTTAGACAATATCTGGAACATGGCTTGGAAACAACACCCACTGCTCCATGGAGAGGTAACATTTGAAATGAAGCTTTGTAAAAACCAATACTTCTAATGGAATATATAGGAAACTAATGGCAGCTAGGTGGTGCAGTGGATAGAGTGTAGGGCCTGAAGTCAGAAAGATTCTCCTTCTTGGGTTCTAATCTGGCCTCAGATACTTACTAGCCATGTGACCCTAAGCAAGTCACTTGCCTCAGTTTCCTCATCTGTAAAATGAGCTAGAAACGGAAATGGCAAAGTATTCCATTATCTTTGTGAAGAAAACCCAAAATGGGGTCATGAAGAGTTGGACACAACTGAAAAATGATTGAACAACAACAACAGAGTAAAAATCTAATTATATTTAAACATGGGAGTCTACATTATAGCTCATCATACATCATCTTTTATACTATAAATAATGTCTATTTACTAACGGGCTACATGATGTAGTGAAAAAAGTACTGGGTGGAGACAGGAAAGACTTGTGTTCTAATTCTGCCTCACCAGGAACCAGCTATGTTGCCATGGGCGAAATCACTTTAACACCTTCCTCCTTCCCCAGACTCAGATTCTTCATCTGAAAAATGGAAATACTCATACCTGTAGAATTTATCACAGAGTTGATGTTTGGATCAGATGAGATAATATCTGTAAAGTCCTTGGCACACTTTAAAGAGTTATATACTCAATCTTTTCATAAAGGAGAAATAGGCAGAAAGGGAAAAGACTGGGAAGAGAATTTTATGCAAGAATGAATTTTAGAGTGAATGAAAATAATTAATTTCACAGATTACTTTTATCCAGATCCTCTATTCACATCTTCCTTTGAGACAATGATAAAAATTATATTCTTTAAAATGGTATTAATTTGCTTTGGATTTCACTTTTACTCAAAGTCCTTGACCTGAATAAGGGCTTTTGTACATGGTTCTGTGCTGTCATACGAAGGAAATTCTTACATACTTGTACTAATACCAGAGTATTGAAGTTTCCTTTCTTACAATGATTCTACGAAGCTAGCAGGATTTTCAGTACAGACAGGCCTAATCATACTACACGTTAATTAACCATCTGCTATTTGCAAAGGCATTGTGCCTGACATATAGGGGACACAAAATAATGAAAAACAGTCCCTGCCCAGACGAAGCTTAAGTTCTCCTAGAGATATATAAAACTAGAGGAATCAGGGAAGATTTTCCTTAGAAATGGCACATGAGTTAAATAAATAAGCCGTGATGGAAACTAGGAACTCTTAAGAAATAGAGCTGAGGATAGAGTACATTCCAGGCATGAGGAATGTCTTTGTGAAATCTTGAAAGTGGGAGATGAAATTAGATAGTTTGACTGGGATATATATTGCATGAAGGATGATGGTATGCAGTAAACCTGGAAAAGTAGTCTAGAGCCAGATTATGAAGGGCTTTAAATCCCAAACTGTAGAATTTGTTTTATTATGAAGGCAATAGGGAGCCATTGATGGTTCTTAAGCAAGAGATTTTCATGTTCAAACTTGTGCTTTAGGGAGTTTTTGTGACAGCTTTGTAGAGAATGAATTGGAGAGAGGATAGACTGAAAGCATTTATTCTACTAAGGAGGTTGTTGAAATTATTCAGGTGAGAGTTGGTGAGAGCATAAACTAGTCTGTTGGTCTTAGAGTAGTGAAAAGCATACATAGGTGCGAGTGAGATTGTGAACGATAGAATTGACAAGACTAATTTGTTGGATATAGATGATGAAGGAAAAAGATTTAAAGATTACTTAAAGATTGTGAAACTGTGTTAAGAGGAGTGGTACTCTTAAATAGGAAGGTTTATAGGGTAGGTGGGTTTAGGGGGCAGAAAATGAGTTCTGTTTTGGACATGTTGAGTTGGGAGATCCTTAATAAAACATTCATTTGGAGGTGTCCAATATACAGTTAGTGATATGAAACTAAAGTTCAAGAGAGACTAGCGGTGAGTATATAAGCGTAGAAATAATTGAGCTGGCAAGACCGCATAGAGAGAGAAAAGAGCTTAGGAAAGAGATTTTGGAGATAAACTTAGTTGAGGGGTAGGACATAAATAATGATTCTGCAAAGGAGTCTGAAGTGGGCAGAGAGGAGGGAGAATTAGGAGAGACAGTAGTATCATTAAAACCTGGGAGAGAGTAAATATCCAGGAGGAAGAAAGCAGTCAAGGCTATCTTGCTAGAGAGAAGTCAAGAAGCACGCAGAAAGAATAAATTGTTTGATTTCACAATTAAGAAGTTGTAGATAGCAAGTTTGGAAGCCAGATTACAAGGGACTCAGAATTGAGTGGGAAAAGAAGAAATGGAGACCGTTGGGGTTAAGTAACTTGCCCAGAGTCACACAGCTATTGAGGGTTATATGTCTGAGGCCAGATTTGAACTTGGGTCCTCCTGACTCCAGGGCCAGTGCTCTATCCACTGTGCATTTAAACACCAAAAAATGAACATTTCCACACACATAAGCAGGATATAGACAGAGGATTATATATGAGACCATGAATATTCATTTCTTTCTGCTTGCTTTATAAAAGAATAAATTCCACATTTTACTTTCAAAACCATCCTGCTTTTCTGTGCTTCTTGTTTTCTTCTTGCTCTCTTGTTTTCTTCTGTATATGTCACAAAATGTTTTAATGACCCTCTTAATTTTTGGAGGGGAGGCACATTATTATTGCTAACCTCCCTCTCTCCCCTATATTACATCACCATATAACCCCTTTCAATTGCTCTTGTGTTTGTATTTCAAAGTTCTTGCTCAGCTCTGGTTTTTTCATCAGAAATGCTTCAAATACTTGGCTTACCAAGCAGATTATTCTTGATTATAGATCTCTATCTCTTGCCTTCTTTCTGTGTGCTTTTTGACTACTCTCTAGCAATATTTTGTTCTAAGATCTCTTGTTTATAATTAAAATTGTCAGAGGGGGCAGAGCCAAGATGGCGCAGTAAAAGCATTGACTTGCTTGAGCTCTCCCCCAAACCCCTCCACAATACCTACAATTAAAATTGTCAGGTCTTACTGTGATACTGACTGTGGTCCCTTGGTACTTGAAGTGCTTCTTTCTGGATGCTTGATTTTTTTCTTTGATACAAGAACTCTAAATTTAGGCTGTGACGTTCCTAGTGTTTTTCCTTTTAGGGGTTTCTTTCTGGTGGTAATAGCTGGATTCCTTGTATCTTTACTCTGGTATCTTTACCTTTGGTACTAATAGATTGAGGAGTTTTTCATTTATGATTTTTTGATCATGGTTTTCAAGGAGTCCAATGATTCTTAAATTATCTCTCCTTGGTTATTTTTTTAATAAGCAATATCTTACATTTTCTCATATCCAGTCTTTTGATTATGTTCTAATATTTCTTGCTGTCTTGTAGGATCATTGATTTTTGTTTGGTGTACTTTAGATTTTAGGGAGTCCACTATTTATATAAGATTTTATCACATTCTCCTCTGAGCTATTTATTCTTCTTCCAGTTCTTTCCTTAAGAACTTGTATTTAATTTTTTCTCTTGCTTCATTTTTTTCTAGTTATTTATTTAGTCCTTATTGCAGAGTTACTTTTTCTTTCTAGGCTTGGAATTTGGATCATCTCTGAATTTACAATAATTTTTATTATGTTTGGTATCTTCAGTTTACTCATCTGTACAGTTTTGATTTCCTGGATTCAGGCTTTGTGCAGGGACCAGGCTCTGCCTCTGCTGTGTTTTGGGTGTGGTGTTCAGCTCTGCTTGTTTTTACCCTAAGTCAACTGGGTTCTTGCCCTGTTCTCCATCTCCCCCAAGTTCAATGAACTGAATCTTTAGGGCCCTTTTTAGTGTTTGGAATCTCTGCATAGTTAGACTACCCTAATCTTAAGTGTCACACTTATCACTGCTGTTCCTGTTGCCTTCCTTGGTCAGTATACCACTCTGGGATTTTGACCAGCTGTTTTGCTGTCTCTGGACACAGAGCCTTGGTTCACTCAGGTCACATTTAAAGGCTGTTATCTTTGATTCAATCAGTTGCTAAATCTTACCATTTCTGCCTACACAACTTCTCTCAAATAAGTGCCTTTCTCACTTTACTCTTACAACCACTGCTCTTAGGACCTTGTTACCTGTTGCCTAAATTATTAGAATAGCTTCCTAATCATTCGCCCTACCTCAAGTCTGTTCCTTCTCTAATCCATCTAATATACAATTAATAAAGCTATTTAACGTGCATGTGTGACCTTGTCATTTACCTACTCAACAAACTCCAGTAGTTCCCTATTGATTCTAGAACCAAATATTTTATTTTTATCTTTATCTTTTTTTTATTCCTACCTATTATTAGTACAGTAGTACTAGCAATTTTTGAGCACATACATGATCAAAATGTTTTTATTGAAGTTTGGCAGGCATTGGTTTGAACCTTTCCATGTAGGAATGTTGGCTTAGTTTGGCAATAAATGACAATTTTTCATGGCTTAAATTTTGATCAAAAATAGATCTTTTTTTTTTAAATAGGTCATATTAAGTTCTTCCCTGACCTTTAAATTTTTTTATTTTCATTTTTTTTTTTAAAGAAACCTGTAATTTCATCAGTATAGTAAATTGCCTGTTTTCTTACAGGCGATCCACTTTACCAAAGCAGAGCAATAACTGCAAGCAGTTAAAAGTCTTGGCACCTGAGGGTTACTGAGAGTTTAAGTGACTTGTCCTGGGTTACACTGCAAGTTTGTGTCAGAGACCTTGAACTGAGGCTTCCTAACTCCAAGGGTAGCTCTATCCATTACTACATTAAGGGGAAATGCAAGTGTTTTCTGTCCTGACACAAATGTCCAGTAAGAAATTGTCATAAAAGTATTACTCAGAAGTTAACAAAAACTTTTAAAAACTGTACTTGTTTCCTACTGGCTCACTGTTCCCATCATGTATTCAGTAATGTGAAATTTTGTGTACACTTCAGTGTATAAATAACTATAATTTATGTAATTATTTATTTAAAATCTTGAGGGGAGAGAGTTTACCTTCATGTTGCTTCCCCCCTGTTTTTTGCCTTTTTTATTTTCTTAAAATTTATTATTTATTTTTAACATTCTTGTCTTTTTACTTTTTGAGTTCCAGATTCTCTCCCTCCCCCCCACTGAAAAGGTAAACAGTATATCAGTTATACATGTGAAATTATGCATAGGAAATTTCCATATTAGCCATACTGCTAAGAAAGAAAGAGAGAAAATTATACTTCATTTTGCACTCAGTTCTCTCTGTAGGGGTGGATAGCATTTTTTCATCATGAGTTCTTTGGAATTGTCTTGGATCATTGTATTGATCAGAGTGGCCAAGTCTCTCACAGTTGATCATCATTACAGCATTGCTGTTACTGTGTACAATGATCTTCTGATTCTTCTCACTTCACTTTGCATCAGTTCATCCATGTTTTTGGTTTTTTTTATTCTGAAATCACCTCCCTCATCATATCTTATAGCACAGTGGTACTCCATCATACTCATATGCCACAATTTGTTTAGCCATTCCCAAACTGATGAGCATCCCCTGGATTAAAATACTTAAAGAGTATGAAATGTTTTTTTTTCTTGGTTTATTTAATATGTAAATTCACTGAGAGGGTTCAGCAATGGTTATGTGTTCTAATTCCCATAAAATTGAGAAAAATTAAAACCCATCTGCTATTTTCTTCTGTCTTCGAGGAATTCAAATGATCTTTACACCTAGGATTGAGGGGTGGAGGGGTAAGATAAAAAAAAAAAATCTCAAAGGACGTTTCACTGTAAGAAGTGATATCACAGAGCTGGAGCTAGGAGGGTCAGTACATGGTATCTATTAAGTCAAAGCCTTCATTTTATGAAGCTTTGAAGGTATAGTGATTTGCCCTAGGTCAGCTGGCAGTGCTGGGATTTGAACTGTGACTCCAAATTCAGCTTTTTTTCTGTTCTATGCTGCTTCCCAGAAAACTAACCATTTTCCTGATAGTTCTGATGGGTTGGATGTTTCAGGTTCTTTTTTTTCCCCCCAGAAAAAAGTGTGGATTTAATGCAGTTTAAACAGTTTATTCAAGCTTCTTTATTTCTCTTTTTCCAAAGGTATTATTCCACAGCTTTTCTCCCGTTTAAACCACCCTGAAGTATATGTTCGCCAAAGTATTTGTAACCTACTCTGTCGAGTGGCTCAAGACTCCCCTCACCTTATATTGTATCCTGCGATAGTGGGTACTATTTCACTTAGTACTGAATCCCAGTCTTCAGGTATGGAATGTTAGAATGCTTTCCCCTTGAGTGAAGCTAGTTAAATCCATGTTGTCCTATTGATAGTAATTTTTGTTTACTATAATTTTGTGTTGTGTGAACATTCCCTCATGCACTGTAACTTTATTAGAGTTGTCTTTAATGCCATTTTGTCATTTTTCTTTGTCTGATTTTTAATAAAGATTATTGTAGTATTTGTAGTACATTAATTTTTAAATCCTAGATAATACAAAGAAAAGAAATTGACTTGGAATGAGTTAGTTTGAATCTTGTTTTTAATGGCTTGGTTTTAATGATTCTTTTTCTCACTTTTGTTTATTATATGCACATGGGAGAACTGTTTTTATAATTTGTATGTTGTCTTCATTCTAGGGAACAAATTTCCTTCTGCAATTCCTACCTTGCTGGGCAATATTCAAGGTGAAGAATTATTAGGTGCTGAATGTGAGGGAGGAAGTCCCCCAGCTTCTCAAGATAGTAATAAAGATGAGCCTAAAAATGTCTTAAATGAAGACCAAGCTATGATGCAAGATTGCTACAGCAAAATTGTAGATAAGCTATCTTCAGCAAACCCAACAATGGTGTTACAGGTAAAGGATTTTGTTTTTGTTTTTAAATTGAAGTATAGTTTTCTCAGGACTAAAATATACTTTTAATAGTATTCTGGAAATCATATTTGAGGAATCAAGTTTATTACATAATTTACTTCATATTTTGTTAAGCTATTTGAAATTTGAATTTCAAATTTCAAGATTAATTTTTAAAATTTTTAAAATTCAAAATTACTCAAATACAGTGTTCAGTCATCTTGATATTGTGGAATCACTAATTTGGAATGTTGTAATTTAAAATAAAAATTAGACTTTAAGAATTATGCCTTACATATTCTAAGAATAAGCACATTGTGATGTTTATATAGGTCCAAATGCTAGTAGCAGAGCTTCGCAGGGTTACTGTTCTTTGGGATGAGCTATGGTTAGGAGTTCTACTGCAACAGCACATGTATGTCTTGAGACGGATTCAGCAATTAGAGGATGAAGTGAAGAGAGTCCAAAACAACAACACCTTACGCAAGTATGTTTTTAGTTTTTGTCTTAGATCTTACACTTTCTGACCCAGTTGCATCCAACTAAAACATTCTTATATTAAACTTTTAATAATATTGAAACCAGAATTTTTTTAAAAGTGCACATTGTTTCTACTTTAATTTCTGGTGTCTATAGGAGAAATTAATCAAGAAAATTTAAGAAGAAATGGATATTACTCTTTTTTTGCTTTAAAACATCTATTTTCCACATTGCAGTTTAGCTTGTTTTTGATCTGGTAACATTTAAGTAGAGCTCTACTCACTTGACAATATTAGTTTCATTTTTTAGTAGTTCTGTAGCATCAGGTGCTACTTAAGTTCTATGTATGTAAAAGTTATTGAAAGAAATACATGAAATATTTTTGTATATAATCTTTCCATATTAATATATAGTATCTTATTTGAAATTAATTTTTTCAAGACAACTTAGTCCAAAAAATAAATTTGAAGGCAGTTGCCAAAGGCAGAGACACAGTTGTAAATGAAGAGGCTGACAGGTCTGGGAGGTGGGCTTGGAAATAAAGATAAACTAATTGAAAGGCAATAGTATCCATAAGTCTACATTGATTACAAAACCATACAGCACCAATTTATACTTAGAAAATACTAGAAGCCAAGCCATTGTGTAATCTCTATGCAGTAGAATTGTTTTTTCTCCTGTTCTAGAAGAATTTACATGAGTTTATAGATGTATAGTGTATTTCTAGTTTTTAGTGTTTTATTTCTAAACAAGTTTCATTGCTAGTTATTTATAATTGTCTCCTGTTTGTGATTCATAAATCTAGAAATTGTGTGTGTGTGTGTGTGTGTGTGTGTGTGTGTGTGTGTGTGTGTGT